AGTCGTGTTCTCGTGATAAACGTGAGTCACTACAGGAGCCCCCCGCTAGAAAGGGTTTACACTTTCGATAAATAGCGGTTTGAATCGTGGGACTGATCGGCTGATGAGCGATTGTAGTACGGAAGAATTGGCGAACAGGAAAGCGATCGCTGATCGTCGAGTTGTCAACGAAGGTCGTTATCGGAGAACGGTACCAGGAGCGATGTGTTGTATTTGTTGCTTGAGTTGGCATGCTACACCAGAGTGGTTTGTATCCAGAATCTGAAGAGGGCGTTCGTAGAGGTGCGCACCAGAAACGCTGCAGACGTAGGACGAAACCACGTTGAGCCAAAAGCCAGAAGCGACCGTTGCGACCAAGTTCGTGACCAAGCGTGTGCCAAGCATTCGAAACCAATATATCGACTGAGTGCGTTGACAAGAGCATGGGTGATCAGGCCAGCTTTCGCCAAAGTTGACTGAAGTCGACGGAACCAAATGGGGATGGTCGAAGGCGTGGGCTCAGGAAACAAAAAGAAAATCAAAAAAAGAAGAGTGTAGCATACAAGTAGCATAGGAATATTCCTACACCGTATCGGTTGTCGGCTGTGCGACTAGTCGAGGAAGCGTACGGGTAACCGTACTCGGCGACCGGAACGTGAGACGGCAGTCTCGTTCGCGTCGCGTGAGCCTGCAATCTCATCCGAAGTCAAGGGCGGCGTGGTCTGCTGATCTGGACGTGAGACTGTCGTCTCGTCCGTAGACGGTGCAGATGACGCGTGCTGTTAACTGGGACGTGAGAATGAGGTCTCAGATGCATCTAGCGTGGGACCTGAAGAAGATTTAAGGATCCCGCTAGGTTTGATAGGTCTAGCATTGAATCTCAGGGTGTCAGATAGGGCACTGTCATCGACGTGTGCTGGTTTGAGACGATCAATGCTGACGATCTCGACGCGTCCATATCGATCAACCTTGAAGGTCTTTTCGTGACGAGCGATCACGTGAAAAGGGCCTTCGTAAGGTTGTTGCCAAGGTTTGCGTACCGAATCTACTTGTACAAAAACATGTGAACAGGTAGATAACTCTCGAGGGAGAGCGACCTGTCGATGTTGTATTCGAGTTGACACCGGAGACAGCGTTCGCATAAATGCAGACAGTCGATGGACGTAGTCTGATTTACCGAAATTAGGTCTGCTCCGTGGTGTGAAGAATTCTCCGGGCAGACGCAATGTCGTGCCGTATACAAGTTCAGTGGCGGAACATTGGATATCTGCCTTTAAACTCGTTCTCACCCCTAAAAGAACGAGCGGTAAGGTTCCGTGCCAGTTGCCGTTTTCGTGTGCTCGTAGAACACTTTTAAGTTGGCAGTGAAACCGTTCAACTTAACCATTTGGTGCTGGGTGGTAGACGGATATGCTTATGCGTATGCATTCCGTACCAAGCAGCCGGGTCAGCGAGGAGAATCGTTAATAGGGTAACATTTCTCGAATAAAGCGTGGAATTCATCATCACGCGAATAAAAAGTGACAAGGATTCGGTACACATACGTGTGAGTCTATTGTATTAATACTATTCTTATCGTTATCCGTCATGTCGCGTATATTATATATTAAAAATATGAAAATATACGACAGACGTGGATAGATAAATCATAGACTCACCGAATTGGCTTCTTTGGAAGATTTGATCAGAAGTTGAGGCGTGTTCCAAAATACGGGTCACCAATTGTAGCGTGGTGTCGAGTTGAGATTAACTGTGAACACCGCTACCAGGAAACACGTGCCAAGCGAATCAGAAGGCGTAAGAAGCTCGTTCCAAATGACTCCATAAAATCCCCGAGAAGCCGAATATCAGAAGGCAATTAATGGACCAAGTCGATGTTTATTTGCTGGCGATCTCGTGGCATCGAAAGGATACCGAGATCGTGCCAGGATACAAGCTTGGTTACAGAACGTAACCGAATTCGCGCGAAGTTACAATCGAAGTGTAAGCGAGAGAATGGAAGCAGCAAAATAGCTGTCATTAGCACAGTCAAACAAAAGCACATTAAAACAAGCACTGGTACAGTTGGTTGTAATAATAATTGTTCTTATTAAACCAGTCGTGTTCTCGTGATAAACGTGAGTCACTACAGGAGCCCCCCGCTAGAAAGGGTTTACACTTTCGATAAATAGCGGTTTGAATCGTGGGACTGATCGGCTGATGAGCGATTGTAGTACGGAAGAATTGGCGAACAGGAAAGCGATCGCTGATCGTCGAGTTGTCAACGAAGGTCGTTATCGGAGAACGGTACCAGGAGCGATGTGTTGTATTTGTTGCTTGAGTTGGCATGCTACACCAGAGTGGTTTGTATCCAGAATCTGAAGAGGGCGTTCGTAGAGGTGCGCACCAGAAACGCTGCAGACGTAGGACGAAACCACGTTGAGCCAAAAGCCAGAAGCGACCGTTGCGACCAAGTTCGTGACCAAGCGTGTGCCAAGCATTCGAAACCAATATATCGACTGAGTGCGTTGACAAGAGCATGGGTGATCAGGCCAGCTTTCGCCAAAGTTGACTGAAGTCGACGGAACCAAATGGGGATGGTCGAAGGCGTGGGCTCAGGAAACAAAAAGAAAATCAAAAAAAGAAGAGTGTAGCATACAAGTAGCATAGGAATATTCCTACACCGTATCGGTTGTCGGCTGTGCGACTAGTCGAGGAAGCGTACGGGTAACCGTACTCGGCGACCGGAACGTGAGACGGCAGTCTCGTTCGCGTCGCGTGAGCCTGCAATCTCATCCGAAGTCAAGGGCGGCGTGGTCTGCTGATCTGGACGTGAGACTGTCGTCTCGTCCGTAGACGGTGCAGATGACGCGTGCTGTTAACTGGGACGTGAGAATGAGGTCTCAGATGCATCTAGCGTGGGACCTGAAGAAGATTTAAGGATCCCGCTAGGTTTGATAGGTCTAGCATTGAATCTCAGGGTGTCAGATAGGGCACTGTCATCGACGTGTGCTGGTTTGAGACGATCAATGCTGACGATCTCGACGCGTCCATATCGATCAACCTTGAAGGTCTTTTCGTGACGAGCGATCACGTGAAAAGGGCCTTCGTAAGGTTGTTGCCAAGGTTTGCGTACCGAATCTACTTGTACAAAAACATGTGAACAGGTAGATAACTCTCGAGGGAGAGCGACCTGTCGATGTTGTATTCGAGTTGACACCGGAGACAGCGTTCGCATAAATGCAGACAGTCGATGGACGTAGTCTGATTTACCGAAATTAGGTCTGCTCCGTGGTGTGAAGAATTCTCCGGGCAGACGCAATGTCGTGCCGTATACAAGTTCAGTGGCGGAACATTGGATATCTGCCTTTAAACTCGTTCTCACCCCTAAAAGAACGAGCGGTAAGGTTCCGTGCCAGTTGCCGTTTTCGTGTGCTCGTAGAACACTTTTAAGTTGGCAGTGAAACCGTTCAACTTAACCATTTGGTGCTGGGTGGTAGACGGATATGCTTATGCGTATGCATTCCGTACCAAGCAGCCGGGTCAGCGAGGAGAATCGTTAATAGGGTAACATTTCTCGAATAAAGCGTGGAATTCATCATCACGCGAATAAAAAGTGACAAGGATTCGGTACACATACGTGTGAGTCTATTGTATTAATACTATTCTTATCGTTATCCGTCATGTCGCGTATATTATATATTAAAAATATGAAAATATACGACAGACGTGGATAGATAAATCATAGACTCACCGAATTGGCTTCTTTGGAAGATTTGATCAGAAGTTGAGGCGTGTTCCAAAATACGGGTCACCAATTGTAGCGTGGTGTCGAGTTGAGATTAACTGTGAACACCGCTACCAGGAAACACGTGCCAAGCGAATCAGAAGGCGTAAGAAGCTCGTTCCAAATGACTCCATAAAATCCCCGAGAAGCCGAATATCAGAAGGCAATTAATGGACCAAGTCGATGTTTATTTGCTGGCGATCTCGTGGCATCGAAAGGATACCGAGATCGTGCCAGGATACAAGCTTGGTTACAGAACGTAACCGAATTCGCGCGAAGTTACAATCGAAGTGTAAGCGAGAGAATGGAAGCAGCAAAATAGCTGTCATTAGCACAGTCAAACAAAAGCACATTAAAACAAGCACTGGTACAGTTGGTTGTAATAATAATTGTTCTTATTAAACCAGTCGTGTTCTCGTGATAAACGTGAGTCACTACAGGTCACACTCATACATAAAACAGGATCAAGACAACTTCCATCGAACTACAGACCTATCAGCCTCACCAGCATCGTGGTTAAAAATACTGGGAAGAACAGTCGAAAAGACCATAATGATATTTGGGCAAACCAGTAATTTGTTAAACAGCGGACAACATGGTTTCAGAAAGGGTTTGTCCTGCACGACAAACCTCCCTAAAGCGATGGAGCTCTAGACAACGGGAAGGGAGTGGATGTTGTCTACATAGACTTCAGCAAAGCATTCGACAAGGTGTCAACAAATAGACTGCTAGTAAAGCTAGAAAAACTTGGTATTGCTGGTACCGCTGGATTGCTCTTTAAAATTCATTAAGGATTTACCAGTAAGTCGTAGACAGAAAGTAAGAATAAGTTCTAAGTGCTACACCTAGAGACCAGTGCTTATTGGAGTGCCTCATTGTTCTGTCCTAGGTTTCTTACTTTTTACAGTGTATGTTAACGATTTCCCAAATATAGTACAGTCCGCAATATTATCATACGTTGACGATGTAAAAATCAGGCGTTTAATTTCAAATGCTCCACATAAGCCCAGACTTAAACTCCGCGTTAACCTTGAATGACCAACTTAAGACAGATTTCAGATTTGTGTAGTAAGGACCGAGTAATCAAATACTTGGAACCTGTTATCAGTAGTGTACGCACCTTCACAGTCACTCATTCAAGAGAAAACCGGACACTCATAGAAGCACACTAAAAAAGGTAATAACATAGGCCGTATGGCTTCTGTCCTTACTACACAAATCTGAACTCTGTCTTAAGTTGGTCATTCAAGGTTAACGCGGAGTTTAAGTCTGGGCTTATGTGGAGCATTTGAAACTAAGCGCTACGAAGTTCGGGTTTTTAGGTGGGATGAGACTATGATACATAGGCAACCTTTGAGCGGTGCTGCAGTGACTTTGAAGATTTACCCATTTGCTAGAGTTTAAAGAGGATTGTAAATTACTGTTACGAATTAGTATTTAAAGTCAAGAGTTAGGGTTACCCAAGCTGCCAACCTTGGGGGAATTTTGGGGTTTTCGTCTCATTTCCCCAAAATTTACTATTGCGGCTTCCCCAAAATGGACCGAATTTTCCCAAAAGTTGGTAGCTTGTGTAGGATAAGCTGAAATCCCAAAATGCTATTAAACCACATGGATAGACGAACTTCTCGGAAAAATTAAAGTCGTACTTTCCTCAATTTCATTGGTTTGTCCTCAGATTATACCCTTATCTCAGATTGTTTTGGTTTTGATTATGTATTGTTAATGGTGTTTGTTGGATGCTTCAACCGTCCAGTGTAATCGCATTCTTTGTAGTTTGTGAATCGTTGACTCACTTGTTTTCTCGTAGTCCACGCTCCTTTTCATGCTACCGGAGGCTGAACATTTATATCATATGGGTGCCGAAAGCCTTTCATAAATCGTCTAGTTGATTTTGTTCTTTGGACCTTTTTCACTAAAACTCGTAAGCCGACTTTAATAATTAGTAAGCTGATTGTTGATAGTCAGCTATTGTGGATGACCTTTGAGCGACGCTAAATTGACTTTGTGAGTGTCTGCCTTCTTACTATGGCTAAATGAGGTCTATAGAGCAGTTGAATGAGTAAGGATCATGATCCACAGTTGATGGTTATGTTTAGGAATTAGATTTGCGGTTTTGCGTCACGATCTAACTTGAGCTAAAATGTCAAGACTCTATTTGACCAAATGGGCTAGTGAATTTCACGCCAAAATTCAAGACCTGTTATTTTAAATCTGGTTGGTTCGTTCATTGATTATAGTCTCGCGGAATAGGGTTTAACCGGTCTAGATTGAAACAAATGGATAGAAATACGTTTATATATTGTTTTTCGGGATATTAGTTCTGAACCGTGTGAATGAGTCATACGAAGTGAAGACTTGTTAAGTTTCATAAACATTTTTTGTTTTAGAAGTAAGGCCTATAAACCCTAATGGTTTAAAAATTGTGTTCAGTTATCACATATTGTCTAAATACGATCTTTCAGTAACATTGGTGTGACTTGAATTGTTGGGAAACGGTCATATGTAAATTAAATGAGAGGATATGCAGTTGATATTGTTGCTCCTACTGTGAGGTATTCTACATAAATCGCTGTTCACAAATACAACGCTTCATTTGTGTATTCCTTGGAGATGAAACCTGGGATATGAATAGAAATGAAGACATGTTGAACTATGTCTACTAACATGATAGTTATCTTGCATACATGTTTGCATGTTGGGAAAGTATTCGAAGATATTGGTACTCTTAAATCATAGATCTTGTATCGATTTCGAGAGGACTGTATACTAGGGATTCCGGAAGTAATGTTTAGTTAGTTTACCCATGAAAATTAATTTATCCTGTGAACTATAATTGTGCTCTCAAGTCCTCTTATTTGTCACTTTAACTAATGAATCTTTCGAAATGCAGATTATAATGGCATTGATAGAACGAATGAGCATTCTTGGAATTCGAAGTTTTGGACAGGAAACATCCCAAAAAATTGAATTTTTTACACCTGTCACTTTGATTCTTGGTCAGAATGGAACGGGAAAAACGGTTAGTTACTAGTCTAATTTTTTGTCCGCCACTGCTATTTAGACTTAATAAAGTATCTGCTGATTACTATTTGGACTGTACGAATGTATAAGTAGCTCTCCCCTCTGTAAAAGCTTGTTTATTGTTGCTAAGGTTCCCATTTTTAGTACATATATTCACTTTTACTTAACCTTGTCATCGACACTTATAGATAATAGTTTCGTCCACCTTCTCAGGAATCGGTCCACTACTAGGAATAGTCGGCTAAAATGTGTGGTGGCTTTTTTGTAACACCCATTTGAAATTACTCTAATTTCTGAACAAAAAAATTACCTTGATCTTTTTGTAACTTTGTACATTTGGCTTTGTTAATTATTCCCTTGTATTCCTGAGCGTTTTTATGAGTGCGTATTTGTGTATATCTACCCTTTTATTACCTTTCTGCGTAAATAAGTGCACGAAATAGACGTATCCAGAAATATTTCATATTCAAATCCTATTATCCATCGTTGTATTAACGTGGTGAACTAATAGAATATGTACGAAGTTAAATGAGACATGTGTTTTGCTAGTATTATTCACCATCGCTGTCATTATGGAATCAACATGGTAACTCAAGCTAAGGCATCCGACTTTCGGGTTATTTATTTATTTATTTGAACACTTATATATTGGTGTAGGAGTGCGCCAAAACAATGAGAATTTAAGAAAAAGAAAAAAAGTGGGGAACGTAAAAAAGATATAAACAAACAATAACGAAGAGATTGGTGTAAGCTAGTGTAATAATCATAGTAATAGTAGTGGAACAGAAGGGTACAATCAGAAGAAATCTTTCAGTTAAGGAAGATACAACCACGTTTTATGAAGAAAGTAAAAGAAGGTTACAGCATGATCGCCACTGGCTTCTATTCTGAGCCATATCTGATAACGTCTCTAGCCACTGTGTTGTACCATCTCTCGGACCCCAACCAGGGAATCGTGAAGGACCGACACAAGCCAGCCCTTTGCAGCTTTCTTTCATACCACGACACCATGTCATATACTGACCACCTCCGCTTTCTCCAACCAGTCCCAAAGTCGGCAAGTAATGCACGGCGTGGAATTCTCTGGGACGACATTCGTAGAACATGTCTAGGCCACCGAAGTTGGTGTTTCAAGATGGTAACACCAATTGCATTATCGTCTCCGTGCCCGAACACACGATGCCGAACCTCTGCATTACTAACATGGTGTTGCCACTAGATTTCAGCAATCCTTCGGAGACAACGATGATCGAACACAGAGAGTCGTCTAACATCCTCAAATCGGAGAGTCCAGGTTTCACAAGCATAGAGCAAAACTGCTCTCACCGACGCGTTGTAAATCCGACCTTTTACAGCCAGACTAACATCACGAAGGCGCCAAAGATGGCCCAGATTGGCATAAGCCGCTCTGGCTTTCACTATACGTGCATTAATCTCATCACTCACACCCCCACCAGCACTTATGCAGCTACCTAGATACACGAACTTCTCGACTACTTCTATTTGCTCACCATCTAGGGTGAGTACAGGATTAGAATTCTGTCAGTCTTGTAGAAGTACTTTGCATTTCGAAGGTGCAAAGCACATACCATACCTACGGACACTGATTGCCAACTGATTAAGTGCGGATTGCATGCCTTGGGCATTATTGCACAGTAAGACAATATAACCCGCATACTCAAGGTCGAGAAGTCTTTCTCCAGGCAACAGATCCACACCACTATTACTTACATCCATCAGAGCTGTTTCCAGAATGTCATCGATGGCAAAGTTGAAGAGGAATGGTGAGATTGGGCAACCCTGCCTAACCCCACTGCTCGAATGGAAAAATGGAGAAAGGTGTTTGTATGCCCTCACTCTGCATGAGGTGTTTGTATATAGGGCTTTTAGGATGTTAATAAACTTCTCAGACACACCCTTCTTCAATAGACAATCCCAGAGAACAGTCCTATCCAACGAATCGAAGGCAGCCCTGATGTCAAGAAATACTCCGATTGTTGGCCTTTGAAAAGTATGATGGTGTTCTAACATTTGGCGGAGGGTGAAGATATGATCAATACATCCTCTACCAGAACGAAACCCTGTCTGTTCCTCGCGAGTCAATATTTGTCGGGTTTTGAACAACATACGAAGTATGACGGAAGCCAATAGCTTGGACACAATCGGAAGTAGACTTATCCCCCGATAGTTGTTACAGGAACGACATGAACCTTTTTTAAAGATAGGGACAACTATCGACTCATTCCATGACGTTGGTATACTCTAGTTCCCAGACTTTTGTAAACAACGTCGTCAGTCCCTTAGTCAGAAAGTCACCACCATCTTTAAAAAGAGTCGGAGGTAAGTCATCTGGGCCAGGTGATTTGTAGCGCTTCAAGAGTTGGAGTTCCTTGCGGACTTCCGCCTCATTTGGTGGATCAATCGTCACCGGCCATGGAGGGCAGGACAGTCTGACCTATGCTGCCGGAGCAGCAGGCCAGTTGAACTGTCCTTCGAAAAATTCTGCCCATCGTCCAAGACGTCGATGGATGTTAGTGATTGGCATCCCATCATCCTCACAGATTGTTTCGCTCACACTAGACTTCGTGCTGCCAGTGGCTCGGATGAGTTGGAAGAGCTTCCGGTAATTACCAGATGCAGCTGCTGCTTCCAGTTCATTAGCACGCTTCGACCACCAGGCTTCTCGGTCCTTACGCGAGCTTTGCCCAATTTCACTACGTAACAACCTTCGTTTGTGGTCAAACTCACGGTCACCCGTAGTAGACCGACGGGCTTCAATAAATTGTAAGGAACCAGAAGAAACCCAATGCGTATAAGCGGGACGTTTCGCTAAACCGCAAGCGGCCTTACTCGCCATTTCGATGGCGTCATGAAGTTGCAACCAATGCTCATCTATACTTTTCGGTGGAATGGTAGCTAGCCTAGAAGCTAGCTTGGTTCGATACTTGCAACAGAAGTTGCAACCAGCTTGCTAACATCAATCCTTTGGTGGGGGTCACTTCGTTGTCCACTGAAAAGTAAGATAAGATTGGCACAGACCAGGGCATGATCAGAGTCCAGATAGGTACTCCGAAAGGAGCGACAGTCTTGTACACAACCACGCCAGAGGTAGCTGATCGCGATGTGATCAATCTGAGTCCAGGTTTGAGATGCAGAGGGAGGACGCTAGGTGGCACATCGGCGATGACTGTGCCGAAAGTTAGTGCTAGCCAGAAACAGGTTGTGGTCTGTGCAAAGTTGCAGTAGACGGTCCCCGTTATCTGTCCTGCGACCAACGAGTCCCCATCGGCCACCTAAACGACTCTCTTCTGTGCCTAGACGCCCGACCTGGGCATTCAAGTCTCCGGCCAGTACTACAATATCTGTCGAACGCACTTTCTGGAGAACAGATAGCTGGTGGTAAAACTCATCCTTGATTGCATCCGGGCTGCAATCTGTCGGGGCATAGGCGGAGATGACGAAAAGACGTCGTTTTCACGCCGATTTCTTCCCACTTTGATGGAACTTTCTGATCTAACAGCACATAACCGACTGTTAATGGGGATCCAATCGATTAGTGCTGCCTCAGCTCTAGCGCTTAGTGCGACACCAACGCCAGCAAGACCAGACGAAGATGCCACAGGGTCCTCGGATAAACGCACGTAAAACAAGCCTTTTGAAGCGACAGATGGAGAGCGAATTTGTAGTACTTCGCCAGAGTCTTGAATACAGGTCTCGGATAGACAACAAACATCAATATTAAGACTTTCTAAAGACATATCCAGCCCTATCTGTTGTCCGACCTGCATAAATGTGCGAACGTTGAAGGCAGCCAGTTTGAATGGTGCACGCGGTTTCAGAAAAACTGCTTCAGTACTCATATTCGGTGGTAACATACAATTTTCAACCGGACAGTGACTCGAGAACGTTTGGATAGAGTCGAATTTCCACCATAGACGAGCTGCTGTATAAGTCGAAAAAAATAAGTATAGAAAGAGTAGGAATAAAAGAGGGTGAATAATGACGTAGTAAATAATAATAATATTAGTAATAGCAATAATAATAATTGAATCATTTGAATGTTCGTCGAAGCAAGATAATCAGTTTCCATGATCATAGACAGTTCAGTTAATTAATTGCGTGTGGGATGCGATACTGCCCGGGTGCCCAGACCGAAGCAGGTGGTTATCTTAGGGGGCCACACCTCGAGCCTTTGACCTAAAGGTCTAACCCACAAGGCAGTGGAGCATCGCAAGGAGATGCAGTCCCATGGTAGCCGGTGACCGAAAATTGGTTCATATGCCATTTGCTCCCGCAGGATACTGGTGCCCATGTGCACCATTGATTTGGAATCCGGTTAAAGCGCCGGACATTCGCTTTCCGTCCTCTCATTTTCGTAAACAACACCCCTGCCACGAGAAGGCAGTGAGTAGGACTTCCCTGGCAGAGGCTGTATACGCGCGGCCGTGTGAGAGTATTTCGAGAGGGAGGGCGAACCCACCCCGCTCTCGGCCATACCAGGGCATTTCGGGTACCAAGTTCCAGGTTTGAATCACATCCACCTACTTCCGCTTGGGGAACCAGGTATTATTTTAAGTCCTCATACCTGGTGTGGCACATACTCAAGTGCCTTGGCAATGAGTTAAATATTTTATGCGAAAAGATCCACTTATAACACGATGTAGTTTTGATTAGTGAAGACGCTGACAAAATGCAGTCTTCTAATCTCCTTGAGCAACAGTGCCAACATGTTTGGAATTTGATTCTATCCCTCTAAATGCAAAATGTTTCAGGAATAGTTTGCGTCAACACCTGAACTAATGATAGGAAGTGGGACATTTCAGTAATTTGGCCTGTTCTATTTTATGGTTATGGAACACAGCCATTAAGAACAGAGGATATTCATAGGCTACTAGTTTTCGATCATAGGAGTTTTCAAAGTAGTTCTCGTGTATGTCGGTATCACAGAGTGAGTGATGCTGATGAGAGGTATAGGGTGCTATATTAAGATAACAAACCGGTTGATGAGGTAGTTTACCTTCATCAAATTAGTGGTTGGGACGTGCATTACGTATATCCAACCACCGCCTACCTCGATAGGCGATATATCTGGCCTAGGAGTGGGGTGGGAGAAATTAAGAGACAGCCAAATCAAAACATAGCATCAGTCTATGAAGTCATTAACTGTTGGGCTGAGCTATCTAGGTAGGTGCAGATTACGTGATTGGGGTCCGGGCGATTAACGTAACCAGTGGCTGGAGATTTTTTATACAGCTCAGAATCGACTGGAGTTTCATAGACACATCCAATCTTTGTTTCCTCTTGTTTCCTGATCACCCAAATTTCGTAAATTGTCTTCTTTTTATTACCTATTCTTTTCTACTATTTTACGTAGTTACTATTTCTAGCACCGTATGGTTTAGCTCGGCTCAACAACACTGTTAGAAACTTCTCCTAGTACTGATAGTAGTGCGATGCTTTTGTAGTTCTTTATTTGGTATCTTGATGAGGTATCCCTTCCAGTCTGTCGGCACTTGTTCTTCCTCCCAAATCTTTCTGAAGAGAATGTGGGACATCTTTGCAGTTACTTCAGTGCTTCAGCTGGTATACTCCTGCTTTCCCACTCTTGATTTGACTAATGGTCATCCTCATTTCTTCTGTCGTTGGTGGAGTGACATCTATAGGAAGGTTTGTGTATGCTGCTTCGATATCCAGTGGATTCAGTGGAGTTGGCCTATTCAAGAGTACCTCAAATTATTCTACCCACCTATCCCTCTGTTCTTCAGTCTTGGTGATTGTCTTGTCTTCTTTGTCCTTGACTTGTCCCTCTGGTTTACTATATTTTCCTGTTAGTTTCTTCGTCATGTCATATAGTTGTTTGATATTTCCTCCTCTCATAGCTTTTCCCAATGTCGTTGCTAGGTCTTCCACATGTTTCCGCTTTTCGGCTCTAATGCTCCTTTTCACTCTCTTGTTTGCTTCCGTGTATTTGGCTGTGACTTGTCTTTTTCTGCTCCTGTTTGCATGTTGTTGATTACTGTCTTCTTGTCCTTCCTTTCTTGAATCTTGTTCGGGGTATCAGTAGAGATCCACTCTTAAAGCTAGTGCTTCTTTCGAACCAACGCCTCCTGGCTTATTGAAGTTATTGCTTCTTTAATTCTTTTTCAGTTGTTTGCCACACTAGTTTCCTCTTCTTTGAGTAGATCTTGTAAGGCTTGGAATTGATTGCTGAAAGTATCTCGAATTCGTTGAGTTTTTCAGCATTTCGAAGAAGCTCTGTATTATATTTTATAGTGCTGTTTCTCTAGATTTCTAGTGCTTCTTTGGCTTTAGTTTCGTCTTGGCCACAATCAAGTGGTGATTTGAATTTATGTCAGCTCTTCCATTTGTTCCCACATTTATGAACCTTCTGAACTTCTTATTCAACCAAATGTGATCGATCCGGTTTATTCTAGTGTGGCCCTTTGAAACCCGTTTAACTTTGTATATGAGTTTGTGGGGAATATTGCGCCACCTATAATCATTTTGTTGAAAACACATAAACTTTCAGATCTCTCATCATTTTCGTCCCTTTCTCCCAGACCATGTCTTATGATATCTTTGTACCTGATGTTGTCCATGCCGACCTTGGCATTTATGTCTCCAACCGGAATGATCAGGTTCTTTCTTAGACACTTCTCTATGATATATTGCAGTCTTTCATAAAACTGATCTTCATCGTCTTCATTGCTATAATTAGTGGACGCGTAACACTGGATAACATTCATTGTAATCCCCTCCTTTTTTGAAGGAAGCTTTGATAATTTTAGGTCAATGAGATTGCCATTCCGTAAGTGCATTTCGTACTTCTTTGAATAGCATCAGTTCAACTCCTTGTGTGCGTGAAGCATTTTATTTTTCGTGGTCAGAGTACAACAGCACCTTTCCCGAACCTAACCTTTTCTGTCTAGTTTTAGTTGCTCTAGTTCTCAGAGGGGACGTCGGCCCCATGACTTCTGTTGAGGATGTTAGATCCCAAAACTCACTTGGTAATTACCTTATTTTCGTAATTCTATTTTAAAAATTTGAATTTCCTGTTTTCGCGCCAACGATCTCATTATTTTTACCTTCATTTCGTATTTCCTACTTGGGAGGATCTTAAACGCTATTGGTCCGTTGTATCTTTTAGTATGCTATTTTGTAACGCTTCCCAAAGACAATTTTATACTGTATATATACGTTTGACTTGTGCTTGTTGTTGTAGTGCGTGCTTCTGGCTGCTTGTGGAGTATATTCCTCTTTTCTGAACATGAACTTCTCTCTCTAGTTAACGCGGCTGGGACGCGTCGAAATAGCTAGCTTATCTGCCATTATGTCACAGTCTTCTTTCCGTTCTCAGATTAGGTAAACTCGTAATGTCTTCAAAAATAGCAAGTTCTAAAGAATCTCCGCTTTCACCATGAGGCTTCATGACACTTCTAAATAAAGATCCTTCAACTCCCGAAGCAGGGTTTAAATGGTCTAAGTGATTTTCTCTCGTTAGCGTCTTTTAGCATGGTTGTTTTCTACGATTACAAATCCAACTCTCTAGTTCTAGGAGAACTTTTTGTGGGTACTGAAAGTTCTGGATAACAAGTACCAAATGTTCCTTTTACATTTTATTAGGATGTCAGCTGAAATTAGTCTGAAAACATAATTGTTTATTCCATGTTTTCCTCAGATAGGATATCCACAGTTTAAGTCTTCTTTGAATCATTTCCAATCTTGATGCTGTGGAATGCACACCAAATATTTTCGCTGTCACAGTTGGTACATTAAGGTTACAATATTTCTGTGAGATCATTTAACAAGAGTTTGTAACAAGAATCTTGTTTTAGTTCTAAGGTGGGATATAGGGACAAGATTCTTCGAGACTATTTATCATTTTCTCCCTGATCTGCTGATCGTCATTCAGTTTACAGTTAAATAGGTTCAAGTGGATTTATTGCTGCCACAGGACTTCTGAATTAGTCCCAGTTTGAGTGATTCACCTTGGTTCGATACTCGTATAATATTATTAATCCTTGAAAAAGTGCATCTTGAAACCGACTGTATGAAACCGCTTAGTTGCTAAGTTGTAACAAAAGTCTTTAGGTATTGATAATTCACCATGTCATCGGGTCTTACTGCGGTGAGATAGGAAGTTTTTAATCCGAGACCTTATCAAAGGATTAAGTATACAAATAAAATACTTCATAAACGCAAATTTTATGGGTTACATAAATTAAAAGTGATATAATAAGTAGGAAACATTGTTCAAATTCGCAATTATCGCTCGTACCGTTGAAAGATTATTTTCCTAGTGGTTACACAATAACTTGTTGAACTAGTTGAATTAACTAGAATTAATCCAAGGAGTAGGGTGGGGTAAACCAAATTTGATTTTAGGTACTGAGTTTCTCAGTACAGAGTCAAGTGTTTTGTTAACATGCCTAACTATTCATCGTTCTTCTTCCTGGGAATATTCCTGCTACAGACGTTCGTTATAAGACAGATCATAAATGTTATTCAAAGGATTGTGCTTTCTGACCTAAAGTTTCCATATTGTTTTAGATATTATGCTCGACTTATTTCGACACCATAAAATTCATTTATTTCACTGTAATTTGAAGGGTTTTTCTACGAACGGTCAGCAGCATTTTTGTCATATAAAAATCAAAGGTCAAGCAAAGATGATTGGAATAATAAAGTGACATTTGGTGTGTTATATTTAGTAATTAATTTAATGACTAACTGGCTTGTACCTTAGCGATTTTAATTTTTACTATGTCATCATTTGACATAATCATTCTCTCTCAAAATAAATCCAAAAATATCTATAGGGAATGAACAGTTACTTAATTGTTTTACAGATGCTTCTAATGTATCTATGGCCCAAATTATAATTTATTAGAAAGTCTTCATTAATCATATCAGGAATATTATGTTTCAGACTGTCATCGAGTGTTTGAAATATTCAGCAACTGGAGAACTACCTCCTGGATCGAAAACTGGGTGTTCATTTATCCATGATCCTAGAGTAAGTGTTTACCAGTTGTTTATTAGAGTAACTCACTTCTTGTTCGTCCTTTATCATGCCAATGATTTTTTGATAAATTACATTCATTATAAAACGTCCTTATCTTCCCTTTCATCACTATGTATTCGAATACTTACTAAATTTCGTGCTCGAACTAATTAGTTTTCTTCAAAATTATTTAATAGAAAATTCAGTTCTTAAGCTCTGGTTCATTGTTGACCGAAATTCCATGGTTGGATTTTGTATTCATGTCTATTTGCTAAGGTGACCAAACTTGTTTGTTGAGAGCCTAAACATAAAATGTCGTTTAATTGGCTTATTCGATACCACTACTTCGTTATAACAGGTCTGTCTTACCAGTCCAAAAAGTAAGTTACAACAAATAATCATATATTATCACTTGTTCTGAAAACATTTTCATCTTTTCCGTATCCTTGGCAACGACATCCAGGCTCATGGTAGTTGTGGCTCGTAAGTATTCAAAACCCTTATTATTTGAACTAAGTTGTAGTGAAACAGTTCGGATACACTACGTAGATTGTAATTGAAACTGATCTCATGAAGTTATGTATTATACTCATTCCCCATTTGTGTTGAAATAATCACAACGCTAAATATGTTCCAAATTTCGTATCATTTGTCGTTTCGAATTCGTCTAAATAAAATTTTGAAGCCCTAATTTGTTTTAATAATTTGTCGTATTGGATTATGCGTTGATCTAGTCAAAATATCTTCAGCGTTGGAATGGTTTTGTAAATTTAAGTATGTTAGCGATGATTATAATCTCAGGATTAATATATTCCTTGGTGGTCACCACACAGGAACATACGATCGTTGAACTAGCTAAGTTAGGAAGGTACTTATTCATTAGAAGTGGAATTCAAAAGTTCTCATATTTTTTGAACCCAATAATTCAGTTGTATCGCAATAATTTGAATTATATTTCTTTACACGTAAAAATTTTGCTGACCCCAAAATATTTAAGTATCTCGTATATAACACAGTTATGTACTTAGTCTTCTTTCTAGAAATTATTAATTTTATAAACCACGTCAACTATTTAGTCACTTATTTGACTTAAATGAAGCACAATACGTAAAATGTTACTCGTTTTGTATAGTATTCAAGAGTATAAGCGTCAGTCGGTTCGTCCTTCACTAAATTTCATAACTACAAAATAACTAATAAAAGGTATCTGATGAGAATAATCACATGGATCATTTTTATTACTAGAATTAAGTACTACAACAATATACATATGATATATATATGCCAAAGCCATATATATTTGATATGCACCTTTTCTGTCTCTGATAATGCACGTATGCATTATTTTTCCGCTTAGTCAACTGATGATTAATATTCATTCTTCTAAAACGAGAAAGCTCATTTTAAAATACTCATAATTTCTGGGTTTATATATGGAATTTGTGGTAGTCATCTCGCCTGATATTATTCCTAACGTTTAAGGGTTGCTTGAAAATTTATGGTTACCTATTTTTCCCAACTTTCTATGGAATAAATAGTTATGGAACGATTATTCATTTCATAAAAAGTACGTCTTAGTTATAACGTCTTTATTAATTAATTATGAAATATCATACCTATAGAGAAATGTGTTACTCACTTAATCTAATTCACCATAGTTAACGAACAAAGTATATGTGATGACTGTAATCTATTCATCTTTCTCTCACGATTTTCTCACATAGATAGCACAAGAAAGTGAAGTGAAAGCCAAAGTCACTCTTCAAATTCGTGATGTTAAAGGTTGCCCTATGGTTGTTTCACGAGCACTTATGGCAACACAGCGTGATAAAGTAAGATTTTCTCTCTACACTTTCATAAATAGTTCAGATCTATTATGAATACACACTTATTTCTGTTTGATATTTCTTAAATTTCTATTCTTTTTCGAAATCGTCCTGTTATCGGATCGCAAAGTGGATGTGTCAATGATTTTCGCGTCGTGATAAAGATCTCGCTTTTCCTTAATAATAGTTATATAGCACAACATTTACATAAAACTGGAACTTTTTCACTGAATGTTTCAAACCTCAAATATCCTGGTTATGCCAGTGATGCTCTCTCTCTCTCTTCTGCTTGACGTGCTCTCATACTTGCACATACGTTTTTAGCTTCTTACAGGGATGTTGTACTCACCATTCGTACGAAGTAGTACTGTTTATACGATTGAGACGAGAAACAGACTTCTGGCGTTTGAAATAACTCGGTGGATGCGACATTGCTTCACTCTCTTGTGAATTAGATCCTTAGATCAAATGTTCGGGAAGTTGTATCCTGAGAAAACCACCTACTTCTATTTATATCCTCCTGTAGTGAACGAGAACACACAAGTGATGGGACAACCAAATGTATTTAAATACCAAATTACAGAATATCTTGGTAAAATAAAAGAACCATACACTAAATATTCCATTTGCAAATTTCCATCATTTGTCCTTCACATTCTGTATGATTCTTCCGATTCACAGTTCCTTTGTAATTCCGTTTCTGTTTTCTTCAAGTCAAACTTGATAGCCTTCTGCTACCAGGTTTTCCACTTCCTATTGATGTTACATCCTACTTATATCTGTTGACACAAGTAGCATGCATCACATTACCAGTATGTCAATCTACACGTGAATAAAAGGATACTCATGAAAAATGTGAAAATTGTGATTCACTTATCTGTTACGCTAATGCTGAAAGTATCATAAAGATAATAGTCATTTTATTTTAATTGGATTTATTTTATTTCGGTTTGACATCCTACTTTGTTTTGTTTTCATGTTGCTTTTACGTTTTTTTTACACCGATTTCAATCCTTAACTCACTCAGTAGTTTATCTCTATTGAATGTCCTGCCCTTTCCAAACTGTCAGACTATTGAATGGCCGATTTTATAATTGTTTCCACTATATACGAAACCTAATACGGCTTTTCTAAAGGTGCGTCCGCACTTTGGTGCAGATCAGACAACATATATACTTCGTCATATCTTTGGGAAGTTTTACTGTATGCTGAATATCGGAGACCCTCATTCAAGATTCTACAAAAGCACTACTAATTTACTCCTCAATTATTGGTTTTAAAAGTCTGTGTGTGGGGTGAAATATACATTTCCCTCGGCTGAATCTGGCCTTTTCCCTCTAGTTAGCAGGGCTACGGCTCAGTGGAATAGTTCAGATTGTCCTGTTGTAGTGTTGCTAACTTTCATTCCGTTCTCTAGTTTAGGCGATATCGTAATCTCTTCAAACGTAGCATCATGTACCAGAGTGGAGGATCCCGATTGACAATCTTTTATGCGCTGTCAGGTTAGAAGGTTCAATCAGAGCGAGAAGGAACGCTAAAAATAACGTCTTATCATAATCTCAGACTACGCGACGATGAATTATAGCATTGATACAAAAAGCTAGTTCAAACACTTTACGTGATATCCGTAAAGATATTTTAGTGCCGACTGGGGGCTCAAGTGTACATGTCGGAGACAGAGGAGGGTCTTCTGGGTGGATGATTTGCACTCGTTGGTCTCAGAGCATATTACGGGGATATCCTCGAGTTTTGTATAGATCACAACCGGTTTCTACATAAAATCAACTTCAGGCCCTGTTATTACATATGTGCTGTGTCGTATCTTCCTTCTATATCCAAATACTGGTCTCAGGTCGACTACATTATTAATAACTATTAATCGGGTGCATAAGACCACCTTTCTTCTTAAATTACCTATCTGGATTCTGGTCATCGCTTTGTTTCCGCAGAGCTTTTCTTAGGTTTTAATGATCAACAAATGTCTCGTGTCCTAAGGGGATTAAAATAAGCTAGTTGGTCGCAGCTCCTATTGAAACCAAAAATGTAACCGAAATGTAACCAAAATATGGGAAATTTTTCTAATCTAAAACAGATATGGTGCTCCTAGACAAACCGGTTGACTTATACATAACAACGTTAGGAAACTGTATTCAAATAAGTGAAATAATATAGTAGAATAAAAAAAGTCAACGTTATACTTGGTTGTTGTTATTGAAGTTGGAAAACAGAAATTCCATAAGACATCAGTAAATGAAAACGAAAATTATTTTCACCTTAATTACAAGAAGTACTGTTGTTGCCTTCGCATTGTGTGGTTTTCATTTGCATTCTGCTAGTTAATCATCTGCTTGTTATTTCTTCAAGAGTTTTGGATAGGGAAGGTAAATCTGATAAATACTTTAGCATTATTTGAGATTGTTAGGTAGTCGGAAAAATAGACCAATAATTATGGTGTTAAGTCCAATGGTGTCCTTGGACCTTAAATGTACATTTCCCATTGGTCGATATTTATTTGACGTGTTATTTTCCTGTTGGCCAATATTGTACAATGTTATTTTCTACGTTGTGGTCTGCTTGACTAGTATATAAACAAAGTATGTTTGAAATATAATGATTCATAACTTCGAGGATTATTATCCCAATGTTCTTTTAAGTTCTCCCACGTTTCTGTTGTTTCTTCTGTTGATTACTTTTTATTGCACTATCTCAAGTTACATCATCTTTGACGATTGTACTGTTATGCTGGATTTCACGTTGTTCCAATGGATCGTTCACGAACATTTAATATACAGTTGCTAAACAGGAGCCACTTCGGCTATGGCGATTCCGATCATTACTTACTAGATCCAATATATTTGTTTTATAAAATGTGATTGGCTTCCTTGTGGCTTATGGTATTTACTGCATGTGTCTTACGTTAATGCTACCTGAATTCGCACTCTGAATACTTTCTAGGAACTCTACTGGTTTTAAACATTTGTTACTTGGTTAGTGTAACTTAAGTTGCTATTGATTCTTCTTTCCATTCTCACTTGATTACCCCCCACTCACAATAGGTTTGTACAACATTTCAATGTGTTGACTCCTGATAATACCGTGCCCGAAGTAAAACGCGTAGTTCTTTCTGTGAACTTCTTAGTTAAAAAAGCATATGCAAGCTAATTTGCATTCAGTTGGATACAAGTTTCAATGCTTGTTTAGGAACTAGGGTCAAATTGACGAAGACTGATTAGTCGTAAATATACTTCATAAGTAAAAATAAAATTATAAGAAAACGCTTTAGAGCTTAATGGTAGATTATTTCAGTAGTATTGTTTGTTACTCGCTGAGCTTAGTTTTAATATCAACCTTTTTTTCCAAGTGCTATAAAGTACTTTCTTCATATTCGCTCAACAGACAAAGCAAGGGACTTTAAAAACTCTGGATGGATCAATAAAACGTCAGTACTCAGACGGACGTGTTACAAGTGTCAGCCTACGATGTACTGACCTAGATCAGGAAGTAAGCCTTATTTTCGTTTCTTACTGAGCGCCATAAAGTCCCTTTTTTCTTAGATGTTTTTGTGACAGTTTTTGATATTGGAATGGTTATTTCGCTTTTGAGTAGTCATGTTTAGATAAAACCAATTGCGACCTAACACATTCATCTGTGTAACACTAGGATTATTATTTGTAGGTTGATGAATTCATGGTGAAAAATAAGTATGGCTGTATTTTCTGCCCCGAAAAAAGATAACATTCTTAATACAACCAAAATCGTGAAATATTCGTTGAAGTATGGCACAATTTTTATTCATCAAAAGAAAGAATTTCTTATTTCAGAAGTATGAAAGTAAGATTTCTTAAGAATAGTCATTGAATACACTAGTTAAGAGAACTTATACTAGGGAGTAACACGATAGTCTGCTGTAGCCTACAGTTATGAAATATATCTGCTCATACTGCACCATGTACATCTTCAAAGTGATGTTACCACTGAGTCAACAACATAAAATAAGAGTTTGATTTCTAGATAGGAAGGTGGTAATGCAACTAATAAAGTTCAGAATTCGCACACTAAATACAGCCTACGTTGTTCAATAATTTCTGTGGTTGTGACTTCGTTCTAAACTAATGGTTCGGCTTTTTATCTTTTGAAATTTGGTTAGATGGTTACAAGTTTGGGTGTATCAAAAGCTGTCTTGGAAAATGTTATCTTTTGTCACCAAGAAGATTCCAATTGGTCAGTTCCTATCTTTTAATGTGCTTTTGTTTCGCATTTATACTATCAGTTATTCTAATCCATATTTTGGTAGTATTTTGAATATTCCTTCTTGGAGGGGTTACTTGTTGCTCTAGCATTACCTTCGTCCATTGGAATCTCTTATTTCCAACTAAAAAAGAACATAACTATTCAGTTATCACACTCTAACCTGTGTAACTGGACATAAATCTTATTAGTCATGCATAATTCCTTGTTCCAGACAACGAATCAACTATTTTGCATGAATGCTAATGATAATACTTGACTGGGTAGGTGTTGTTATGTAAAGTGGAATTCAAATAGGCGTCTCTGTGATTGAAATTCAATTGTTCTAGTTGTCTTAGGCATCGAAACTAACCAGATTCACTGAACTGAAAGGAAACTACTGTCTATCAAATGATCCTTTGAGAAAACATTTCTGAACAAATTACTTTACCGATGACTTGTCTCCCTAAATGACCTGGTCATTTAAAGGTTTGTGTCTTCATACCGGATAATAACAGTAAGGAATAGCTGCGGTGTAAGCTTTCATTGAATGGCATCATAAAGTACACAAGGATATAACTTCTTGAGTTTCTTATTCCGGGATCTTACTTATTGTGTCAATTCAATATGACATAGCTAACCCTAAGACCTATTAAATATATTTTACATTTTGCAATAGTCCTTAACTGGCAATTTAAGTTGTATTGCAATTCACTATCTCTTGTTATACAGTTTCCCGTATCCTTCATTATAGGCCTTTACAAGAAGCGAAATCGGTAAAACAACGTTTCGACGATTTGTTTGCTTCATCACGTTATGTGAAAGCACTGGATGCCATTCGGAAGTGTAAACAAGACAATGTTAGTTATGAAACTTAGTAGCATTCAGAATTTTTCTTTCAATAATACGTGAATCAAGAGTTATACTTTTGATTTGAATTATAATGTTAGTTTTATTTAGGTATTTTACAAAAGGTCGTTCTTAACTTTCGAGACACTTCAAAATATTTAGTATTTAAATTTAAGTGTCTATGAGAGTGCTTAACAGTCTCTGATCTGATAGATAATATTAGGTTTTGCTCGGTCGATATTCTTACGTATATCGTAATAATCTGTTTCTTAGACACTTTTAGGGGAGGTTAATAGCTCGATTTTTATATAGGTTCTCATCTTAATATTGTAATTTTAACCTTACATGGTAAATATGATGGATATTTTATCATAATATAGTTTTTTAGGATTATTCTGTTTCCCAATGTTGGATCATGCCAGTGACTCCGTTCTAATCACATGAAGAACTAAGTGCGTTTAGGTACTGGAGTTAAACATAATGTTCTGTTAGACTTTTTAATATATTCCACGTCCAGCCTTTATTTTCAGTTTAATTAATTGATTTGTCAATTATTTATTCGAACACAAACACTGGTTCAAGAGGGCACCAACCACATATACGCCACACATTAACGATGAAGTTGTGAAGAAACAGAGGGTTAACATTAAATGCACAGCCATTTTCGTTTTTTTTTCGAGTGAAATTTTTTTCATCCCTTTTGGAACAATTTTTCATTCCCATTTTCATTCTGTTTCGTCCAATCAAATAGCTAGTTTTGAGTTCATTATAATTGGTCGTTTATTTCTTAAAATCGATATAAAATACCCGGACTTGATGACAGAGCACATTTTCCTCCAATTATGTACGGTAGTAACATGCAAAGCACGAACTCGGTCGTTCCTCACGTTGTTACAGAAACCGATATTTATGTGTTCAAATAAATAAATAAACCCAGATGCTGCTTCCAACTCGTCAGTATGCTTTGACTGCCAGGCTTCTCGGTCATTACGCAGGCTTTGCACAATTTCATTACGAAACAACCTCCGTTTGTCGTCATACTCGCGGTCACCTGAAGTCGATTTACGTGCTTTTATCAGTTGTAAGGAGCCTGTAGAAACATAATGTTTATAAGTTGGACGTTTCTCGAAGCCACAAGCGACTTTATTCGTTATTTCCATGGCGTCATGCAATTGCATTCAATGCTCATCTATACTTTTAAATGGGCTCATAGTTAGCCTTGAACCTTGTTGAGTTTGATATTTAGTTGCAACAGAAGCTGCAACCAATTTGCTGACACCAATCCTTTTAGGGTGATGAATTTGTTGTCCACTGATGCGTAAGATGGGATTAGCGCAAACAAGGGCATAATCATAGTCCACATAAGTACTCCTAAAGGAGCAGCAACTAATGCTAGCAGCACCAAACGAAGATGCCACAGTGTCCGTGTATAAACGCGCATAAAACAAGCTTTTTGAAGTGACAGATGGAGAGCGAATTTGTAGTACTTCACTAGAGTCTTGAATACGGGCCTCAGATAGACAACAGACATCAATGTTGAGATCTTCTAAAGTCATAGCAAACCCTATATGTTGCCCGATCCGCGTTAGTGTGGGAACTTTGAAGGAGGCCAGTTTGAATGGTATACGTGGTTTTCGAAAGACTGGTCCAGTATTGGTAGTCGGTGGTGGCATTCAACTTTCATCCAGTCAATGACTTGAGATCGTTCGGATAGGAAAGGGTTTCCACCATAGGTAAACTGCTGTACAAGTTGAAAAATAAAAGAATGCACAAAAATATACAAGTGATGTAGTATAAAAAAAATAAACGAATGTTACCAAACGATTTTGAATGTGATTTGTCTAATTGCAAATTGAAGCTAGAATAACTTTTTCAGTTGTAATAATGATTTGATTTGTGTGTGGACAAGGATACTTTCTATGCTCTCAGACTGAAGAAAATGGTTTTCTCAAGAGGCCAGTTGCCGAGCCTTTGACCTAGAGGTCTAATCCACAAGGCAGTGGATCAACGTTAGTAGGTGCAGGTGGTATCGATTGACCATGTGCACCACTGGTTTGGAAACAGAGTCTTCTAAATCCTCTAGGTAGATCTTCCGTACCCACCAACCCGGTGAGAGCACCGAACACTAGCTTTTCGTCTTATCAATTTCGTAGACAACACCGCCTCGAGAATGAAGTGTGTAGGACTTCCCTGGCAGTGACTGTATACGCATGGTTATGTGAGAGCATTTCGAAAGTTAAAGCTGACTCGCCTCACTCTCGACCTGGATGCCTATCCCTTAGTTTAATAACGAGTTTGATATTGGAAAAAAATAAAGTAGGTTTAACATAGACTCATAATCTATATTATTCAGCGTATTTTAAATGTACAATATTGTCAGTGTTACCTATTCAAATAAGTTCTCATAGGTCGGTGTTCAGGCCCAGATGGTTCAATCAACTTGCTTGATCGCAAATAGTATTTAACGTATTAACCTGGACTGTTAATAGTAATTTTATTTAATTTTGCCTTGATTATAACATAGTCGTATGTATTAAATGTGGTTTTTCAGTCGTATAATAACAATGGCTACAAATTACCGTGTACATTATTACGTCCGGAATAGGTTTTTTATTAATGTATTTTATTTACTAAGAAATGGTTTTTGAGCCTGTAGGTTGCATCTACTTCAGTTTAAATGGTGGTGGTAATTTAGTTAACCGTCACAGTCTCCGTCCAGTTCATAGTTTAATATATGTTGCTCAAGGGTTATGGCAACTTGAGCATGTACACACGTACCAGGTTCTACGTTGGAACTAACTGACTGACTTAATGTGCAGATAATTGTTAGGTAATTGAATTAAAGTTCACTTCTTTTTTCCGTCATGATTTTCAAATTTCCGGATCTTCACTGGAAAAAAAGTTAGAATTCCCCTTATCATTTTGTCTTTATAGTATCAGTAAGTCATTTCCCAACTTCCGCTTAAAAACGTTTCCATTCAGGTTACTTTTTTTGTTTGTTTTACTGAACAACAATTTAAACAAGTCGATTAAATAAATAACAGGTAATTCTTCTTTATTGAAGTTTAATTGAATAGCACCTAACTAGTGTAGTTATTACCTGGTTTTGCACTGTATTTTCTATTTCTTTTCTATTATGAACTAATTAATACAATGATTATTCTGTTGCCTTTAAGTTTTTGCTAATTTCTCTTTCTACAGGATGGCAATGTTAAATTATATAAAACTGAGTTGAAACATTTAACCAAAAATCGTGATGAAGCTTTGAAAGTAAATCCTTTTTATTTCTATTCGTTTATGTTTAAATTTGCACAAATTGTTTGATGGTAGAAGGCTGAAGGAGGAATTATTCTCATAATATTTTATAGTGAAAATCTAACGTTCATGTAATCATAAATGGTATTCGTTTTTATTTGAACTATTTATTTTCCATTGGTTTTATAATATTTCAGGTTTCTAGATGACAATAAAAATATTAGTTTAATCTATCTTTCAGATTATAGGTATCAATGCCAAAGGTTGACTTGATAGTTTCAAATAAATTGAGCATTGGGTAGAAAGTTAATAATAGATTTATTTTTGTTGTATCTCAGTGAGTTCAAAAATTGTACTTCTGACGTTGGGTGACTTAATGTAAGCCAATTCTTTAAAGTGCATAAATAATTTGATTTGGTTATTTATTTACTCTGAAGAAGTGGCCACCAAACGTCAGAAGTATGATTCTTCTACTCATTAGGATAAAGAACAAAATATATTTATTATCTTTTAGAATAATTCAGTTCTTTTGCTCAAGGTTAAAACGAACCAATTGACTTAATTTGTACACAATGCTTTGATGTATTGTATTGATTGTTGAATATTTACATCTAGTCAACTGAGTTTTTTTCATCAACATAATCTGTCATCGTGAAAGATTTGTTCATATTTTAGCGGTACAGTGTAATCGTTTTGGTAAACTGAATTGACTTTAATCTTCAAATAGTCATATATTTCTTTATCATTCTAAAGATTCTTCCCGATATATGAATTTTTTGGTGATTATTCTCTCATATGTAACACTATGTATCCTATGGTTTATATTACAGACCGATTCTAGTTAAAAAAGATACCAATGGAAACCAAGAAACAATGAACAGTGGCCTCATCCTAACATGAGACTCACGCCCTCACCGGTGTCGAAGTTAGACATACAGACTGTTGAATACTATTTCAGTGGTCGAAAGGTTAAATACTCACCATAGGACCCGGAGACCCTTTGTTCTATTCCAAGGGGGTCGTGAATTGAGACTTGTGACAACTCCTATACTAATAAACAACAGTTGTCCTGTGCTTCCCGGTCTTACATTGCTGTTTTACTAAAACCAGTTCGTTATACAAATTGCAGAACTCAACAATCTCCACAACAACCTTTAATAAGAATTCAATATGTAGTTGAATTATGGAATATTTGGAAACATTCCAATTGATATTAATCTCGTAATTGTAAAATTCTACATTTCTTATAACTTGATATCTGAAGTATTTTATGGCATTAATCATTAATAATTTTACTATGAGTGGAATTCTATCATTAACAGAAATATACATATTCATGTATATTGTTCTATTTCAGCTTCGTTCTGAACGAGAAGAAACACTTCATTCAATTGAAAAACAGGAAAAAAATCTAGAAGAAATGTCTGCAAAGCTTCAACCTGTCGTTGTAAGTAGAGTCAACTATCCGCTAATTGATTATTATTTTTTTATTCATGTTAAGAAAATTAGATCACTAACTTGTTCCTTCATATTCGAAGGTAGTTTCACTTTTAACTAAATATAAATGAAGTAAGGCATATTTATCACACAATCAGTTGTATAAATATGAAAAAATTGTCAATTAAAGTCAATAAGACCTAACTTTTAAAATACTTATTGGCTGTCAAGAATTTTTATTAAAGCTGCTTAAAACTCAACTTGGGTTTACTTTATGTATTTATCACACAAAAAATACTTTATACAACACAACACTGAGAAATAGAGTGTTCGACATGAGTAATTATTCATAGCATGTCAAAATATTCTGAACAAATCGTAACAGTTATTATATTATGAATTTTCCGACTATATGGGACGTTGTCGTTTTACATATTACCAACAAGTGTACTTTTCAGCCTCAAAACTATCCCGGAATATGTTTCAGTATTGTTTTCACTTATTGTAACGAAATAATCTTTCTGCGGTTTTCTAAGAATCTTTATTTGGTCGTCTAAACAAAACCATTGAAAGGTAACCGTATGATTTAAAAAAAAACACCGATTTCGAGATCCACTTGCAGAAATTATTTCACTTTTCAAACCTAAAATCCTGTAATAAATCTAAATTCCTTTCAATGTTCTGGAGTGCACTTAAATATATATTATTAGCTTTATGTTACAATCTACTAAAGACGAGTTCCTATACTGTGTCTTAAGTCTTTCGTATATGCTGATGGTCTATGAAGCATATAATAATAGCTGGTGACTTGGTTGTGTTGATCAGTATCTACCATACTGTGTTGTTATTTGTACATTAGAATTGCATGTAAATAAAAATAGTGATTTTTATTTTAGTTTTCGGTGGCGTATTGTTCTCTGAGCTAGATGGTTTGGTCGTGGAGCTTTCATCGTCCTTCTGAACGACATCATTAGCACCAAATTCAGGTAGAAGTGAAGTGTTCGAATTTCTCTACATATGGCTCACAGGTTATCCTGTAGATCTTGATGTTGATTGGTTATTGTTGACCTTTAACCTATCATTGTTTACTTTTTTATTTCGATTGTATCTTCCATTGGTTTGATTCTTGGCCTTATATTTGTCCATAATTTTTGTGATCGGTTGATAGATTAGATCAGTTTCAGTGTGTTTGATGATTACCGATTGACCTGAGTGCCAAGCTTCTAAAACATTCTGTGGTGTTTTTACAATTACCTCTTTCCAATATCTCAACATTTTTTCAATCGAATGTGTGTCCACAGTTTTCCGAATTCATTTATATAAGCGAGGATATTTCATGGCACTAGACCGCCGATTGGCGTTTATGCAGGCGAATATGAAGAGAGCGTCCACTTTGTCCGATTTAGTGTTTTTCGCAGTTGGAACAATTTATTTTGTAAATTATTTTCAGTTATTTTTCTTTTGTCATTTGGTTGGCATAGGACTGATTGAAGCTATTTTGTTGGTCTGTGTGCTACATCTATTCTAAAAGACCTCAACACTCTCGTAATTTCTGATATGTCTTTTATGTATGGTAGGATGATCCGTCTGTTGGTTTCTGTACTTGACTTGTTTCTGCTGATACGTTTGGTTGGTATTTTTTGATGAAATTGATTTGGTAAACGTTCCTTTGAATGATAGTCTCTAGATATCTTTTTTCATTTTTCCGCGATGCAGGTGTGTAGCAGTGTCTCCTCGTTCCTTTGAATAAAGTTTGTACGCAGTTAATTGTGTGAGTTCTTGGATTGTTGCTACTGTGATTGAGAATTTGAAATGTGTGGACCGGCTTCCGGTATACTTGAGTCTCCAGTTTTCTTGTGTGTTGGTTCTGCTGATTGATACATCTAAGAACTATAGCTTGTTGATTGGCCCTCGTTCCATTGTGAATTTTATGTCATCGAAGACGTTGTTGACCAGATTGTCGGTGTTTTCCAGCTCGTATTTTTAGACGATGACGAATGTGTTGTGCTTATAACTATACAAAGCTTACATACTGATGAAATTCAGTATGAAGATTTATCACAGCTTGCAAGAAGTCTATCACAGTTTATCGCAGTTGACTTCAGTTGGGACTAGAAGTTATTCTTTATTCACAGACGAGTCTTGTCCATTACCGAGATGTCGTTCATAGTCATACGACTTGTCTTGTCATTTCATCGGTTTTTCCTGTAACTACACTTCTCATTTAGCTAATATTATTTACGTTAGAATTTTTAAGGGATTAAGAGGTATTTTGATAATTCTACTTTGTTGACTAATGCTATGTTCGTAGGCACAATTCAACATTGCTACGCAAACTATCCTTTTGATCTGAAACTGAGATAATAACTTGAGTGGTTTCAAATCTTGGGATAAACATGTTTCGATGTGGTGTACTCGGTTTAGGAGTGTTCAGCGATTGGAGGGTAGACCGTTTCTTGTCAATATATAGCTATTGGATTCACGATGACTTTTGACATATATATTTGTACATTCATAACAGAATAGGACTCGCTTTAGAATTCAGTACTGTAAAATAGTTTGAAAAATCGTTCGTTTATAAGAACACTATAATGTTCTTCCAGGAATGTTCCTTTACTATCCTTTAAATGAGATTGTTTTGCTTAGTTTTGACACCTAGGAAAGTTTATAATGAAGTGTTCGGTTTACATTTTACATACCAATCAATTTCATTTAATTACAGTCGATACATGATTGAAGCTAACCCCTTCCAAAGTTTATTTTAAAATTGAACGGGTAACTCTTAAGTCGTGACCAGTGGAGTTCAACTGTGTCGGGTTTGAGGCAGTTACTCACCGAAGACAATGGAATATGGTCGTGCAGTTTCGTGAACTGGTTAAAGTTAGACGCTAACACAACTCCGCCTGAAGTCCCTCCGGGGGCTTGGGCATGGGGTTAGCGTCCCCATCCCGTAGAAAACTAACTCGCTAATAAAACGCTAATCAGAAAAAATATTTCAAACGATTTAAACTCTGTCCCGGGAGTCAGGCCTTCGTTTAGAAGAGTTATGACGCCTCGTGATGAAAGCTTAATTCCTTCGGAAGTTACGAGGCCGATGCCCCTTCTGACAACCAGAACAACCATTTATTTAGGTACATGGAGTGTTCGTACAATGTGGGACACCGGGAGAGCCTTCCAAATTGCTGCAGAAATGAGAAGATACAATCTAGAGGTGCTTGGGATCAGTGAAACACATTGGACACAAGTTGGACAACAGCGACTAGCCTCAAGGGAGCTTCTTTTACACTCCGGCCATGAAGAAAATGCTCCACATACACAAGGAGTTGCGTCGATGCTGTCCAAACAAGCACAAACGGCACTTATAGGATGGGAATCTCATGGACCAAGGATCATCAAAGCCTCCTTCAAAACAAAGAAAGAGGGCATTTCAATGAACATCATCCAATGCTATGCGCCTACCAACGACTACAATGAAGACGCTAAAGATCAATTCTACGATAGGCTGCAGTCAATCATCGAGAAGTGCCCAACAAAGGACCTGACCATTCTGATGGGAGATTTCAATGCCAAGGTTGGAACGGACAACACTGGATATGAAGACATCATGGGACGACACGGACTGGGAGAAAAGAACGAAAATGGTGAGAGATTTGCAAATCTATGTGCCTTCAATAAGCTGGTCATAGGCGGCACCATATTCCCACATAAACACATACACAAAACCACATGGACTTCACCGGATCACACCACGCAAAACCAAATCGACCATATTTGCATCAACAAAACGTTCAGGAGGACTATAGAGGACGTGAGAACCAAGAGAGGAGCTGATATAGCATCAGATCATCACTTACTGGTCGCCAAGATGAAATTGAAACTCAAGAAGCACTGGACAATGGGGTGGACAATATCGCAAAAGTTCAATACGGCCTTTCTTCAGGATACTAACAAACTCAACAAATTCAAGATAGTCCTCAGCAACAAGTTCCAGGCCTTTCATGATCTACTCAATGGAGAAGGAACTACTGTGGAGAGCAACTGGAAGGGGATCAAAGAGGCAATCACTTCAACATGTCATGAGGTCCTGGGTCACAAGAAGCACCACCACAAGGAATGGATCACTGTTGGTACACTGGATAAGATTCTAGAAAGGAGGAACAAGAAGGCATCGATCAATACCAGCCGAACAAGAGCAGAAAAAGCCAAGGCACAAGCTGAATACACGGAAATAAACAAACAAGTGAAGAGGAGCATCAGAACCGACAAACGTAAATATGTGGAAGATTTAGCAACGACGGCGGAAAAGGCTGCAAGAGAAGGAAACATGAGACTACTGTATGACACGACAAAGAGACTCTCTGGAAATCGCCGTAAACCAGAACAACAAGTGAAAAGCAAGGAAGGCGAGGTAATCACCAACATTGAAGAGCAACAAAACAGGCGGGTAGAACACTTCAAGGAATTCTTGAATCGGCCAGCTCCACTGAACCCACCCAACATCGAAGCAGCACCCACGGACCTCCCAATCAATGTTGGCCCACCAACAATTGAAGAAATCAGCATGGCCATCAGACAAATCAAGAGTGGCAAAGTAGCAGGACCAGACAACATTCCAGCAGAGGCACTAAAAGCAGACGTAGTGGCAACTGCAAGGATACTCCACATTCTCTTCAATAAGATTTGGGATGAGGAACAAGTACCAACAGACTGGAAAGAAGGACTTCTGATCAAAATACCGAAGAAAGGCGATCTCAGCAAGTGTGATAACTACAGGGGCATCACTCTTCTCTCAATACCGGGCAAAGTCTTCAACAGGGTATTGTTAAACAGGATGAAGGACTGCGTAGACGCCCAACTTCGTGACCAACAGGCAGGATTCCGTAAGGATAGATCGTGTACAGACCAAATCGTAACTCGATGGATCATTGTGGAACAATCAATTGAATGGAATTCATAACTCTACATCAACTTTATTGACTACGAAAAGGCATTTGTTAGCGTGGACAGAACAACACCATGGAAGCTTCTTCGACACTACGGCGTGCCTCAGAAGATAGTCAATATCATACAGAACTCATATGATGGATTACACTGCAAAATCGTGTATGGAGGACAGTTGACAAAGTTGTTCGAAGTGAAGACCGGTGTTAGGCAAGGTTGCTTACTCCCATCCTTTCTCCTTCTCCTGGTGATCGACTGGATCATGAAGACGTCAACTTCTGAAGGGAAGCACGGGGTACAATGGACATCTAGGATGCAGTTGGATGATCTAGACTTCGCAGATGATCTGGCCCTTCTATCGCACGCGCAAAAACAAATGCAGGAGAAGACGAACAGTGTGGCAGCAGCCTCAGCAGCAATAGGTCTCAATATACACAAAAGGAAAAGCAGGATTCTCCGATTTATTTATTTATTTATTTAAACACATAAATATTGGTACAGGAGGGCACCAAATATATATGCGCCACACAAAACAATGAGAATTTGCAGAGAAGGAAAAAAAAGTAAGGAGTGTAAAAAAACGATAACGAACAGATCAGTGTAAGGTAGTGTAATAATCATAATGGGGGAAACAGAAACGTACACTCAGAAGAGATCTTTCAGTTAAGGAAGAAGCAACCACTTTTTATGAAGAAAGTAAAAGGTTACAGCAGGATCGCCACTGGCTTCTATTCTGAGCCATATCTGATAACGTCTCTACTCGAGAACGTTTAGATAGAACCGAATTTCCACCATAGACGAGCTGCTGTATAAGTCGAGAAATAAGGATAGACAGAGTAGGAATAAAAGAGAGTGAATAAATGACGTAGTAAATAATAACAATAGTAATAATAATGTGAATCGTTTGATTAACAGTTGAAGCAAGAAAAGTATTTTTCATAATTATCGACAGTTCCTCATATTTGTGTGCGGGCTGTGATACTGCTCGGATGCCCAGACCGAAGCAGGTGGTTATCTTAGGGGGCCACACCCCGAGCCTTTGATCTGAAGTTCTGATCCACAAGGCAGTGGAGCATCGTAAGAAGATGCAGTCCCATGGTAGCCGGTGACCGAAAATTGGTTCATACGCCCTTTGTTCCCGCAGGATACTGGTGCCCATGTGCACCATTGATTTGGAATCCGGTTAAAGCGCCGGACATTCGCTTTCCGTCCTCTCATTTTCGTAAACAACAACCCTGCCACGAGAAGGCAGTGAGTAGGACTTCCCTGGCAGAGGCTGTATACGCGTGGCCGTGTGAGTGCATTTCGAGAGGGAGGGCGAACCCACCCCGCTCTCGGCCATACCAGGGCATTTGGGGGCCGGGAGATTTTTTAAAAACCTTTACATATCTGGGCAGCATCATTGATGAACAGGGTGGATCTGATGCAGATGTGAAGGCGCGGATCGGCAAAGCAAGAGCAGCATATTTACAACTGAGGAACATCTGGAACTCAATGCAACTGTCAACCAACACCAAGGTCAGGATTTTCAATACAAAGGTCAAGACAGTTCTACTGTATGGGGCAGAAACCTGGAGAACTACAAAAGCCATCATCCAGAAAATACAGGTGTTTATTAACAATTGTCTACGCAAAATACTTCAGATCCATTGGCCGGACACTATTAGCAACAACGCACTGTGGGAGAGAACAAACCAGATTCCAGCGGAGGAAGAAATCAGGAAGAAGTGCTGGAAATGGACAAGACACACATTGAGGAAAGCACCCAACTGTGTCACAAGACAAGCCCTCACATGGAATCCTGAAGGCCAAAGGAGGAGAGGAAGAGCAAAGAACATATTACGCCGAGAAATGGAAATAGACATGAGAGAAATGAACAAGAATTGGATGGAACTAGAGAAGGCCCATGACAGAGTGGGTTGGAGAATGCTGTTCGGCAGCCTATGCTCCATTGGGAGTAACAGGCGTAAGTAAGTAAGTAAGACACTAACACCATTGGATCCCGGCTCAACGGTCTAGAGGTTAGGCGTTTGGGCGCGAGACAGAAGGTCCTTGGTCTTAATCTCGCGTGCGGAGTTGTGGACGCACACTGCTGGGGAGTCCCGTACCAGGACGAAATGGTCATCCGTCCCTCCCGGTTTCCATTGGTGGCCTAAGATTGGTCGGCTCATGATCTCAACTTAAAATTCTAAGTTATTTATCTGTCAGCTAATGTACAAGATTTATTTATGAGGGTTATCCTGTATAATTTAATCACAGGCTTTGAACTTTGTGTCTTAAAAGATTGAGTATTATAACACTGTAAATTAATAGAAAATTTATTTTTGGTCTAAAGGAACAACTCAACCGTTATAAAGAACGCTACGCAGAACTAACAAAACTACAAGCTGAAATCAGTAAGTTTTTTTAACATTTCCATTTTGTAGTTCTTAGGTATGAATACCGAGGCTAGGGTTGGTAGTTTCAAATAAATTGAGCAATTGGTTAGAAGGTTAATAATAATAATAATAATAATAATAATAATAATAATAATAGTACTTATTATTATTATTATTATTACTATCATAATTTTATGATATCAATCAGTAGAAATTTGTATTCCTGACTTTTCGTTTCTTTTATGTCCATAAATGTCATTTTCGATGAATATGTAAAATCTAAATTTTATGTATCTTGTTTCCTAGAATCGACCAGAAAATAATTGATATTTATGTTCATATTATTTATATTATTAAATGTGTTTCATTTATTAATCATTAAAATTCGAAAGAATGAGATCTGGTTTAATATCTTCCTGTATACTAACTTTAACTGTCTATTTTAGTGGTTTTAAACTAAAACTTGTTAACAAATTGGATCTTTTAAAAATTTTTTTTGCAGAGTCTTGTGAAGCTGAACGTGCTCATTTAACAGACACAATAAAGAATTTAATGTTAAACATACAGAACGAGTATCAAGGTAACAATTCCAGTAATCCACTCAATTTTTTCTGCTGATTTCTTGTTGTTTGATAGCCTCTCGTAACCACTGTTATTAATTATTGCGCAGATGTTAATTTTCAGCTTTACTATACCATTCAGAAGATTCAGACAATACAATATTGTCTGTTTGTAATCTATATGTACGTCTGGACAGGCTATAACCAGTCAGGTTGTATGCTTGAAATCCCGACCTCAACTACTGAACATTCTCGTAGTATATCTAGCCTCCTTCAACTTTTGTGATTTAAGAGTCAGCGTACAAATATTTGTTTGTTTGTTAAGCACCATTTAAACTATTTAAAGAGAACCCAATCTTTTCATTATCTTTTCGAAATTGAACTACCGTCGAATCGCCAAGTTAATATGTAGTGGTCTATCCTTCCCATCTTAGTCAATAATAGTGTGGTTACTTTTTATACAAATAATGGTTCCCAGATAGTTTTGATTATTACTTGAGTTGATTTTGACTTATTATGAAAAATAATCAGCAATTAATAGAATAGGAGATCTGTGGAGATTTTTGAATTTTATAGTTCACACCATGAACTAACTTTCATGCACACTGGCGACTAATTTCAAGAGGTTTTCGTTAGGAGCCGTGATCAGTGGCATTCAACCATGTTGAGTGTGAGACAGCTATACATTAACACTGATAAAGATGGCTGCACAATATTACGGATTGATTAAAGTTAGACTTGTAAACCATTGGATGCGGGCTCAGTGGTTTAATGGTCAAACACTCCTCATTAGACCTGGAGATAGTGAGTTCGATATCGTGGAGGATCGTAGATGCTAGCTACTGAGGATTCTCATTTTAAAATAAAACAGTTGTCCAGTGCTACTGCGTTTTTTTATGTCTGTCTAACTAAGTTTAGTCTTCTGTCAGCTGTAAACAATAATAATCATTTAATTTACTGGAAATTATGCAATTAAATTCTGATCTGTAAACATTTTCCAATATTTGTCTGATAATGTTCTGTAGCCTAGTTCTTTTTATTAAAGGAAGTGATGAAGAATTAAAGCGTTTGATTGAAGATGCTGAGACAGAATACGAAAAGAAAATTTTTCTGTTGAATCAAGTTAGTGTATTTTATCTTCATACTGTCAATGAAATGTATAATGACTCTCATCGGTAAGGGAATTTGTGGAGAATGTAGTATTTTAACAGTCGAACTCACGAGCCGATCTAAGCTAGACTACCATTAAAAACCTGGAACAACTGGACGGCCGCTTCGTCCAAGTGTGGGACTCCTCAGCAGTGCCCATCAAGGTTTTCAACGGTGATCTAGCTTTGATCGACTCGTGAATTCAACTGTTAAAAGACTTATCTAGCTTATTGTAATACCATTGAACTCATTATAATTAGACAAATAGATGCACAGTTACTAATTTTCGTTACAAAGACTCAATAACACTAAACACATCCACAATGAATATCACTTATTTGTTAAACCTTAAAACTTTCTGCAGTGAAATTGTTCATATTTCTTTATCTATTCTTTTGTTGTGACCCATCAATAATATTGCTAATAATTTTACTGAATTTTCTCTAGCCATATCAATTAGAAAGAAATTAGTTTATAAAGTTTGGAAAATCAAAACTAAGTCAAATATATTTCGCTTAACATTCAAAGTGGTTCGTTGAATATGGTGTTTGCAAATGGTTTCAATTAGGGAATTCTGTTTACTGTCATGACATTCCAGGTAGTTTTTTGTTCTTCATCAAGAATATGTAATTTCATGATCATCGTACGTCCTCTGTGTATACTCATTCATTTGTTTTTCATTAGCTCCACTTCTCATATCTCATTTGTTATTTAACTTTCCAGTCTGAAAATATATTACAAAGAAAACGTAAAGAGTTAAATACTTTGGAAACGGATCAAACAAAAACTATTGTTGAGAAAACACAAATTGAAATGGAGGTTAAGGTAAAATGGTTTGTGTACTTTCTCTTCTGAATATACTGTATACTGAATCATTTTGTGTGAATTCCTTATTATATTCATAATTTTTGTTGTTGCTAGAAAATGCTGACTAATTCTTTCGGTTTCTCATGATTCTGTACTTTTGTTGAAAAAAAGTATTGTAACATTAAGGAATAAATCCAACATTTCGCTCGTTACAAGCTTTTTCAAGGAGATGTAATCAAATACCAAAATTACCGAATATAAATAACCTATGACTTTCAGTCACTGAGCTGGAATCCAACGGTGTTAATTTCTACCTTCAACCAAGTTGTGATGTTGCACAACCGTCTCCCATTGTTTTCAGTGGGTGACCGCCTCACACCCGACACGACTAAACTCCCCTGGTTATGGCTTCTCACTTAAACTCAGACAATTACATCTCAAAGCTAGTCAATAGTGAACACGTGATAATTTGCAGTTTAAGGTTGTGAAAGTCTCTAAATTTCACTGAACTCGTGAACTGATCAGTGTTAAACCACTATTTGAAATCTGGAAGCACTGAATAAAGTTAGACATTAACACTTTTGAGTGCCGGCTCAATGGTCTAGAGAGGTTAGGCGTTTGAACCGCTTGTGCGAGATCGTGGATGCGCACTGCTGAATAGTCCCATACTAGGACGTATTGTGACTTTATGTCCGGCTTTTAATCACGTGATTTATCCACCAATCGAAATAAAACTTATACAATCTTAGGACTGTACCAAACCAATGACGTTCAACCGGTATGAGCAGCCCAACGTCCTTATTGATCCTATGTTCGTCCACCCCATCCACTTGAGTCCAGAACACCAATAGCAGCTTCCACTATGCGAATAGAATCGAATCATTTATTTCAGACATACTGGGTTTATATATCAAACAAACAGACCGCAACGCACCATAAAATAGGAAATAACATTTGTACACAATAAAACCAAAAAGTGGCTGCGAACGTAGGAGTCAGTAGTCAATAAATTGAACATAGCTTAAGAACAGTAAATAGTACAATAATAATATATAGGTCAAAATAAAGCTTATAACAAAGGAAATATAGATATACATAATTTAGTTACTGAATATTTATACCATGAGAATATATAAATAATATTAGTCCATTAATAAGTCTCAGACGTTACTCGTAATGTAATCTTCACTAGGATATAACAGGACGAAACGGCCGTTCGTTGCTTTAAGATTTTCATTGTTGGCGCAGCATTGATTAGTTGATGATTTCGATGAAATTTAGCAATCTTCACAACCCAAAATCGAAGAAAATACATCAGTACATGGTTCTCTAGTTAACTGTATACCATACAGGTCATCCAATCATTTGAACAATGTTGGAAGTAAGAATTTGTTGTACGTACAGATCATCCAATGTGTAAAGAAAAGTGTGTCAAGATAACAGTTGTATGTATATACAAGTGGATCTGAGGTTAAAGAAAAATGTCACTGACTATATACCACCTCTGATCGGCGAATTTTTGATGAAATCGATTGACTTTATAGATAATGTAAGTCAAGCATGTCTTAGATTGCGTAAAATGAAGGTAAATAAATAAAAATAAATGTTTGATCATATATTTAGACAAACCAACTGTTCAGAGCAGCTGAAGGTAGTTGTTCAGATAATAAGTGAGATTAAATGAAGTGAAATGTAATAGGGAGTTCGGGTTTACTTATTAATTGTTAGTCACCCCATGGTAACTAATTGTAATCCATCTCTCCTAGCAATACTTTTTGGATGAATCGTATGAATAATCTATGCAGTTACAGTATGAATACAATCAAGATATATCTTATTTTTGAGGAAAAAACATCTTACTGTTTATGAAAAGTGTATTTAAAAACTATCACAGGATCGTCACTACCTTCTAGTCCAAGTCATGTTGGAATACGTCTCAACTAGTTGAGTTGCAAAAACTGTATAAATCTATCTAGAGATTTGCAAATTCAGTGTAACTGCCTTATTCTAGTATTATCTATTTAATGAGTTTTAAACTAAGCTTTGATCGTATTTTTATCGTATATCGGTAGATTAAGATTACAAATTAGTGTTATCAGTTGTTAGAGTGCATAAATTCTAATTTAGTGTTGATTATGTTTCAAAAGATAAGAATAATTTTTAAGTTTAGCCTAATTATCATTTTAAATTTTTATCTCCGTCCATCATAAAGTATACTATCTTAAATTTCTTAGCGTTTGAATGAAGCAATAATCAATCGTGATATGATCTTAGCCTCGATCGTTACAAATTACATTCCCGGTATGTTTTAATAATTCCCTTAAGTTATACGAAAAATTAATCGTGTCTAAGAAATTACAATACAAATAAATTATTTTATAAAAAATTATGCAGCATCATTTTTGTTTTCAAGGAAAAAATTTTTTAATTACATTATAAAACAATTAATTCAATGAAATTCTATTCAACAAGTTCATCTGTACCAGAATAAAACAACTGTTCATTTACTTCCATGTTTTCAATAGTATTAACATTGAAGTCAGTTCATGAAGAATAAAATGATCCACAAATTGTTTATTTGTAATTAATACAAATGATATTGAGTAGTGATGAGGTTGAATCGAATATCAATGAGAGACGGGGGTATAATATGACAACCATTAAGGTAAAAAGAAGACTAAATCTAGCATTAACTGAATAGTTGAAATAAAAGGCATATCATCTAAATGATAATGAACAATTAAAAATTCTGTTTGTTTAAAATGATTGTTTACCTTCGAACATTGTTCCTTTTATCGAATTAATTGTTACATAGTTTGTTATAAGTTCTCTGAGTTAGTTAATATATAAAATAAGGTTTATTTATTTACTTAAACATATAAACATTGGTACAAGGATGCACTAAACGTATATACGCCACACAAATCATTCGATTTCTGTAAGTGCTCATATATTGTCAGGGCGCCCGAATCGAAGCAGGTGGTTTCCTTGGGTGGCCAGTCCCGGAGCCCTTGACCTAGAGGTCTAATCCAAAACTCAGTGGATCAACGTTGGGAGGTTCAGTCTCACGGTAGCCAGTGACCAACAATAGGTTCATATCCCTTTTGTTCCGTCAGGATCCTGGAACCCATGTGCACCACTAGTTTGTGAACAGGGTATTCTAACTCCCCTAAGTAGATCTTCCGTACTCATTAACCCGGTTGGAGCACTGACCATTAGCTTTTCGTCCTCTCAATCTCGTAGACAGCACCTCCGCCTCGAGAATGAAGCGAGTAGAACTTCCTTAGAAGTGGCTGTACATTCCAGACCTTGTGAGAGCATTTCAACTCCCTGCTCTCAACCGTACCGCATTAGGGGCATATATTTAAATAATGTATCATTTACATAAATGGAAGAGTTTTATTATATTTTTGATATACTATACACATAAATTGTCTCTGAAATCTATTAATAGCAACAGTGTAGAAATGTCTATTGTATTACTTATTGTATTGATTCTTTTAACACTGAGTATTACTTAATATATGTATGAATTTCAGCATATTGGTCATGATGTTTTAATATGAATTAACTTAAATACTTCTTTTTACATAATGAAGATGATTGTTTCGTTATATATGTTGTTATTTATACCAGGTGATATGTATGCAGACGTGAAACAATTCACCGATGAGGATGTGGAGTATATTGTGCAGTTTGTTGATGGATTACTACATGAATATGAAAATCAATTAACAGAAGTGAAGGTAAGATTGCGCACTTCAAAATGTGTGGAACACTTGATTGTTGTATATCTTCAGTATTTTTTTCTATGCTTTCTGTATTGCGTAGTTATGATGTACTACTTATGATTTTCTTATGAGGTTATTTTGTCCAACTAGATATAAAATGTTCGTTTGTCATTGGGTTGAAATGAGCTTTCAGTTTACAAAAGTGCCTGACACTTTGATGGTAGAAATTACTCCCTATACATACGGGCACTGATTGCTAACTAGTATGCTATTTAAGCAACCTGTATGTTGTTATATTATAAATTTATTCTGGCATATAGAATCAATGGTTCTATTGTCTAGTCGCAATTCGTAAAAAACTCATGTTTTATTGAGTTTTAAGGTTAACCCATAAATTATAAGTGAATCTTCTGATAGTTATTTATTTTCTTTAACTAACCAGTTAATGACAGCTGAACTAACAGGTTATTCATTTTCTATGGACAATATTACAAAATACAGCGGAATTTCTATTTTTAATGTGGGGGATTTGTAGAAGCTGTAGAATTTTCACAGTTTTAAATCACGAACTGATCATGTACTCACTAGTGACTAGCTTCAAGATGGATTGTCTGAAGATCTAGTAAGAAACCGTGGTCGCTAGGGTTCAAACTTTGTTGGAAATGTTTCCACTGTCAAAATGGATAAGGGTTGATCAATATCATGAATTGATTGAACTTAGACATCAGCACCGTTGAATGCTGGGTTATCGGTCTAGAGGTTAGACGTTCTCACACGAGACTGCAGCTTCTGGATTCTATTTCTGGAAGTGATATGGTTGTCTAGTGCTTTGGTGTTTTACAATGTTGATCTGATTAAAATCAGTTTGAGATTTAAAATTGAACAACATTTTCTAGAATCCATTCATCCTTTGACATTATTTTTAAAAAAAATTGATGCACGATGTTTCCTGTTATTGTTACTTATCGATAAGGGTAATAAAATTTATTTTAACCACATCAAATTTTGGTCCATAATTATTCTCTCAAATAAAAACACTCGGCGAGGCTATAATTTATGAACAAACCAACCAGATTTAAGATAACATGTCTTGGATTTTGGCACGAAACCCCTTCATTCATTTGGCTGAATATCATTTTAGCATTATAGCTGATGTCAGTTCGTAATGGAAACATTAAAGCTTGTTACTAGCATTAATGTTCAATTATAAATCCTAATCCTAATCCCTCATACTAACCTGTGATCCTCATTTAACCATAGTAAGTAAGTGGACATTCCACGGTCATAGGTCGTCCGTAAATTATAATCTCACCGAATGCTCAATTGGAGATCATTAAATGTATATTTTATAACATTTAGAATGTATCAATTTTTTATTATTCCTTTGAAAAATTTCCTCATTTTATAGATATTCATTTATTTAATTTTTGTTTCAATTCTTCAAAAGCCTCCCTGAAAGACCATAGAAATTAAATTTTTCAGTTTTAATTTCTTCTGTTGTTCAGTACTACATTTTCACATTTTGTAGATTATTTTCCTTTGATTTATTGTTCCATTGAAAAATAAAAAATTAATTTACTTAGAAAATTTTTTCCGAATTACTTTGATATATTTTTTCCTAATAAAGCTGATGAAGAAAATAATTGTGGAAGAGTTTAGATGTTGTAGTTTCGTCGTTTTAAACGATTGCCTTTTTGTCGTTCTAACTTTAATGAATTGTGATTATTTTAATCCGTATGGTGGTGTTCGTTAATAGTTGGCTCCATCATTAAAATTCAGGGGCGACTTGGTAGGTACTTATTCCTAGTATCGATCTCTTCTGCAGTTAGCATTCACAACCCACCAGGGATCAAAACCCAGGACCTTTTGGCTACACAGTGAGTGCCATACCACTAGACCACTCACGTATACTAAGTACATATTAAGATGAAACACTTGAGATCAATTCGTGATGAATACATCACCTGTAGAATAATGAATTGTCTTCTTCATACACATTTCTTCTGAATAAAAGTATTTCTTTTTCGTTGCATGAATTCTGAAATTATTACTTCTTTCAATGTTTTGTCTTTTCATTTAGCTGCTATCGGCTAATGAAGAGAGGAAAGCTCAAACTGATGTTGATGTTGTTCGAGATGAATTGGCTGCTTTAAAACAAAAAATACAAACTATAAAACGTAATTATGTATGCTAACGTTATTATATATTTTTTCTTCTATTTGGTGACGCAATTCATTACCTTTTATTCTTTAGTTGTCTTTATATCCAAACTATTCTATGAATAAAATGATGATATTATTTCAGAAAAAGATTACCATGATGATTCACATGTCTTTTGAAAGATATCGCTGCAATTGTTAGCAAGTATGAAGTAGAAAAATAGAGTACAAAAGGTTATGTTTTAATTACAATAGCTCTGGAACAGAAAGATTATGACAGTAAATCATACATTAAACAAAAGCTTATAGTTTATAGAATAAACTAGGGATAAAACTAAATGTTAGCATTTTACAAATTTCGTATTGAAATAACGTCTCAAAAAGTAGATTCCGTTACTTGTCATGGCATCGTTATTTCTCTGCTCACATCATATAGGTTCTTTACAAAAGATTAACAAGTTTACATAAAGTCAGTCATATAAGAAATTGTATAAATATTTTTTTCTTAAATTAGAATCAACGATCATGTGAAATGATTAGTGTTGAAAAACGCTTAGAAAATGAACATTCATTAAATGAACGTATTGAAAAAGTCAGAGATCAATTTCATAAATCTGTAAGTGTTAATAATCATTAATGAAGTTTATTTACTTATTTATTTTATTTTAATTTAAAGGGCGGCCCGCTTGAGCATCTGGGCTACCTGTTCCTGCCATCTAGATATTTCAACACTTACTTACTTACTTACTTACGCCTGTTACTCCCAATGGAGCATAGGCCGCTGACCAGCATTCTCCAACCCACTCTATCCTGGGCCTTCTTTTCTAGTTCCATCCAATTCTTGTTCATTTCTCTCATGTCTATCTCCATTTCCCGGCGTAATGTGTTCTTTGGTCTTCCTCTTCTCCTTTGGCCTTCAGGATTCCATGTGAGGGCCTGTCTTGTGACACGGTTGGGTGCTTTCCTCAATGTGTGTCCTATCCGCTTCCAGCGCTTCTTCCTGATTTCTTCCTCCACTGGAATCTGGTTTGTTCTCTCCCACAGTGCGTTGTTGCTAATAGTGTCCGGCCAATGGATCTGAAGTATTTTGCGTAGACAATTGTTAATAAACACCTGTATTTTCTGGATGATGGCTTTTGTAGTTCTCCAGGTTTCTGCCCCATACAGTAGAACTGTCTTGACCTTTGTATTGAAAATCCTGACCTTGGTGTTGGTTGACAGTTGCATTGAGTTCCAGATGTTCCTCAGTTGTAAATATGCTGCTCTTGCTTTGCCGATCCGCGCCTTCACATCTGCATCAGATCCACCCTGTTCATCAATGGTGCTGCCCAAATACGTAAAGGTTTTTACATTTTCCATATCGTCTCCGTCAATTTTGATTGGATTGGTGCATGCTGTGTTGTATTGGAGAATCTTGCTTTTCCCTTTGTGTATGTTGAGACCTATTGCTGCTGAGGCTGCTGCCACACTGTTTGTCTTCTCCTGCATTTGTTTTTGCACGTGCGATAGAAGGGCCAGATCGTCTGCGAAGTCTAGATCATCCAACTGCATCTTGGATGTCCATTGTATCCCGCGCTTTCCTTCGGACGTTGACGTTTTCATGATCCAGTCGATCACCAGGAGAAAGAGAAAGGGTGAGAGTAAGCAACCTTGCCTAACACCGGTCTTCACTTTGAACGACTTTGTCAACTGTCCTCCATACACGATTTTGCAGTGTAATCCATCATATGAGTTCTGTATGATATTGACTATCTTCTGAGGCACGCCGTAGTGTCGAAGAAGCTTCCATGGTGTTGTTCTGTCCACGCTAACAAATGCCTTTTCGTAGTCAATAAAGTTGATGTAGAGTTATGAATTCCATTCAATTGATTGTTCCACAATGATCCATCGAGTTACGATTTGGTCTGTACACGATCTATCCTTACGGAATCCTGCCTGTTGGTCACGAAGTTGGGCGTCTACGCAGTCCTTCATCCTGTTTAACAATACCCTGTTGAAGACTTTGCCCGGTATTGAGAGAAGAGTGATGCCCCTGTAGTTATCACACTTGCTGAGATCGCCTTTCTTCGGTATTTTGATCAGAAGTCCTTCTTTCCAGTCTGTTGGTACTTGTTCCTCATCCCAAATCTTATTGAAGAGAATGTGGAGTATCCTTGCAGTTGCCACTACGTCTGCTTTTAGTGCCTCTGCTGGAATGTTGTCTGGTCCTGCTACTTTGCCACTCTTGATTTGTCTGATGGCCATGCTGATTTCTTCAATTGTTGGTGGGCCAACATTGATTGGGAGGTCCGTGGGTGCTGCTTCGATGTTGGGTGGGTTCAGTGGAGCTGGCCGATTCAAGAATTCCTTGAAGTGTTCTACCCGCCTGTTTTGTTGCTCTTCAATGTTGGTGATTACCTCGCCTTCCTTGCTTTTCACTTGTTGTTCTGGTTTACGGCGATTTCCAGAGAGTCTCTTTGTCGTGTCATACAGTAGTCTCATGTTTCCTTCTCTTGCAGCCTTTTCCGCCGTCGTTGCTAAATCTTCCACATATTTACGTTTGTCGGTTCTGATGCTCCTCTTCACTTGTTTGTTTATTTCCGTGTATTCAGCTTGTGCCTTGGCTTTTTCTGCTCTTGTTCGGCTGGTATTGATCGATGCCTTCTTGTTCCTCCTTTCTAGAATCTTATCCAGTGTACCAACAGTGATCCATTCCTTGTGGTGGTGCTTCTTGTGACCCAGGACCTCATGACATGTTGAAGTGATTGCCTCTTTGATCCCCTTCCAGTTGCTCTCCACAGTAGTTCCTTCTCCATTGAGTAGATCATGAAAGGCCTGGAACTTGTTGCTGAGGACTATCTTGAATTTGTTGAGTTTGTTAGTATCCTGAAGAAAGGCCGTATTGAACTTTTGCGATATTGTCCACCCCATTGTCCAGTGCTTCTTGAGTTTCAATTTCATCTTGGCGACCAGTAAGTGATGATCTGATGCTATATCAGCTCCTCTCTTGGTTCTCACGTCCTCTATAGTCCTCCTGAACGTTTTGTTGATGCAAATATGGTCGATTTGGTTTTGCGTGGTGTGATCCGGTGAAGTCCATGTGGTTTTGTGTATGTGTTTATGTGGGAATATGGTGCCGCCTATGACCAGCTTATTGAAGGCACATAGATTTGCAAATCTCTCACCATTTTCGTTCTTTTCTCCCAGTCCGTGTCGTCCCATGATGTCTTCATATCCAGTGTTGTCCGTTCCAACCTTGGCATTGAAATCTCCCATCAGAATGGTCAGGTCCTTTGTTGGGCACTTCTCGATGATTGACTGCAGCCTATCGTAGAATTGATCTTTAGCGTCTTCATTGTAGTCGTTGGTAGGCGCATAGCATTGGATGATGTTCATTGAAATGCCCTCTTTCTTTGTTTTGAAGGAGGCTTTGATGATCCTTGGTCCATGAGATTCCCATCCTATAAGTGCCGTTTGTGCTTGTTTGGACAGCATCGACGCAACTCCTTGTGTATGTGGAGCATTTTCTTCTTCATGGCCGGAGTATAAAAGAAGCTCCCCTGAAGCTAGTCGCTGTTGTCCAACTTGTGTCCAATGTGTTTCACTGATCCCAAGTACCTCTAGATTGTATCTTCTCATTTCTGCAGCAATTTGGAAGGCTCTCCCGGTGTCCCACATTGTACGATCATTCCATGTACCTAAATAAATGGTCGCTCTGGTTGTCAGAAGGGGCATCGGCCTCGTAACTTCTGAAGGGTTTCGGCTTTCATCATGAGGCGTCATAATTCTTCTAAATGAAGATCTTCTGACTCCCAGGGCAGAGTTTAAAAGTTTGAATAATTTTTTCTGATTAGCGTTTTATTAGCGAGTTAGTTTTCTACGGGATGGGGACGCTAACCCCATGCCCAACCCTCCTCCTTTATCCGGGCTTGGGACCGGCAGTAGCCCCCGGAGGGACTCCAGGCGGAGTTGATATTTCAACAAGTTATCTATTTTTGTTTGTTTTAATATATCATTATGTTTATTAATCTCGTAACCTATTCTACTGCGTTTCTGAAAAGTGTACAACCTTTCGTTGTCAAAGTTACAAAAAACTCAATAAGAGACAATGTGGTTGCTGTCAATATACAACGAAAATAATGCACATTATTCAGATGTTCATTTACTGAACTGCTAACATCTAACTGGCGATCACTCATTATTTATCGGCAGGACCGACCAAGAAGAAGGAAACGGAAACTTGTTGAAATACTTTACGTTGAGAATTCTATATTGTACCAAAAATATAATATTGAATAAAGCTAATGATTATAATAACAATAAAAATAATACTAATAATGATAATAAACAATTACTAAAATAAATTTGTCAGTTGAATTAATATTCATCTAACTGCAATAAATTTTAAAACAAATAAATAATTCATTTTTGTACTGGTTGTTTAAATCTTATTACTGGTGTTTAAGACTGAAATTGATCTGTTTCTTATTGGCATATATGCATACTGTACGGATTGCCTCGATATTGCCTTTAGTCACAAAGCATTATAAACAGAGAATAAAATAAACTTCACTCCATTACACAAGCTAGTGGCTATCTGGAGTCTATAATTAAGTGGATAACTCGATGATATTTGAAGCGAATGTTACTGGGTTCAAGTCGCGGTGTAAATATCAACTCTGCAGGTCCATCCAGTGTACGAGTCCTAAACACGACGAAACGCAAGTTCTCGATTCCACTGTTAGCAACACTCCATCTTAACTCATAAATAAAAAGTTCTTTTTACTTTAATCAAAACGGGTTAGTTAATTTTCATTTAAAGAAATCAACTGCATGATTTCTCAATAAACATTTTATGGGACATTTTCAGACTTTTTTTTGTGATCAGTTGATGAATAAATTTTGATTCCAGTAAAAAGATCCTAAAAGTAATCATGTTTACTATGAAAGCATTTTAATGCTTATTTAAAAATGTTACTTAATATATCAGTAGAATGCCTTATTATTATTTATTATAAAATAATAATACAGTTTATATGTAAGTAGTTAAGTTAGATATGTTTCAACTCAGTTGGTGACTGAAAAACGTATATTTAGAGTTATATTTAATCCAAAGTGCGTATTCTTTATAAGGTAACTTTCATGCTCACTGTATTGTGTGGTTACGATGTTTGGGTGCATTTTAAAAATTTATCTTAGGATGAGGTTATCTACGATGTTTTCAGTTTCCGGTAGCTGCTTCGTACTCAGTACTTCCAGTGTCTTTTTATTCGTTTAGTCGGTGGGTGCTACATATTGAAGTTTTTTTCACCAAACCTTACATTTAGACTGTAACGTTTACTATGTTTATCCTCCGGCATATCGTATGCATTAAATCGATGTGTTCACAAAAGATAATTGTACATAACTCCGGTCACTTGAAATGAAATCCGATATGCTGTACACTCACTAACTGCATGGAAATAGGCGGAAAGTGCTGTAAATGACATTTGTATTGAACATTGAGGACGTTGCTGCTTACACAAATCCTCACAAATTACATTAAATTTTGTAACGCCATTTTAGAAATAATTATCAGTGTTAACTCTGAATTCTCTATTTTAGGAAATCACCATTCGAGATTTAAATGCGGATCATGAATTGAACAACTTACATCAATCCATAACAGAATCGTTGGGAAAGAAAAAGGAACTGGAGCATACAATCAGTTTACTAGAGTAATTATGGTCGCTGTTATTTGTATGATACTATATTACTTACCAATTTATTCAGTAAAAATAAATTGATTTATTTAATCCTTATTCTCGATTTCCCGTTAATTTTAGCTGATCTTAAAGATTAATACAATTCAACCAGTCCTAAATGGAATAGATACTTATAACACTGGTCACTACTTGGTGATCAGTCACTTGTAAATATTTCAGTTCACTAGAAAGTTAGTTGGGGTCCAAGTAGCTCAGTGACAACGGCTCAAACTGTGAAGCGGCTGGGTAAAACGTGGTCGGATACGCCAAGGAGCACAGGTTCTTTCAAGATTACTTCCACAGCTTACTGACTAGTGCGTAGTAGGATAAAACCTAGGTCCATGGTTTCTTTTCAACTACCTACAACCATCTAACAATATTTTTCTAAAACATTTATCATGAAATTATTAGTTAGTCAGCAATTAGTTATCAGTATCAGTATGGACAGTTGTGAGGACTGTTAAATATTATTGTGACCACTATTCAACCTAATTTAAACAGACTGGGGATTAGGGTAGAAAATAAGGTGCAAAATATTATGTTTAAATTACAATAGTTTCGAAACAAAAAGGGGTATGTTAATGAATGATACATCGGACGAAAGCTCATGTTCTGTAGAATAAAATAGGGACAAAAATAGATATAAGTGTTTTACAAGGTTTGAATAAAATGAAATAACGTCCCAAGAAATAGCTTTCGTATTTTGTCTGGACTTCTTATTTCCCTGTTCACAACAATATTCATTTGTTGCAAATATGAGTAGTTTGTTTACTGTGCTATTATTTATTTGGATGTAATGCTCACAAATGACAGTTCACTTAACCTTATTTTTCTTGACCATTGGCAATAAGTGTTTGTATTTATAGTGAATTTCACCCTAATATTTATATTCCTACGATGGGATTGTGAACTCTGTCATTTTGTCAATAGAGACAAATCCTTTATATATCACCAGTTGATGCGGTTGAAGAGTCCTTTCCTTGAATACTGTGCTAAATGTGATTTAGACATTAACTAATTTTTAGCACATTATCTTTCATATCATATTGTAGTTCTCATTTCATTTATTATTAATATTCTTTCTAAACAAACTGTTGACAAGTATTCGAACCATTATTAGCAATATGTCTAAAAGTAATCATTTCATGATTTGTAGCTCTATGAATCCCCGGCATGTGGCTCTTCTGAATAACTCTCTAATGGATTCATTGTTTGTTATATCATAGTTTGCATATTGGATTTGATAATTCATAATTAAATACAAATAATTTGTTTGTCTTCCCAATTTTATTACTTTTTTAGTGAAAAAATTGCGACATTTCAAAAAAGTGCCAGTAAGTATCGTGAGTTAGAACTCATGCAGAAAGAACGAGCGAATAAACTTGAAGGGATTCGCAAAATGTAAGCTGTAGAGCTAAAAACGTTTATGAATATTTAGAATGACTAATATTTTGGTGTCAATAGTCCTGCGGTTGATAATACTTCTTACTGTTCCCTTTGTTTCAAACTAATGCTTTTGTTTCTTTAAGACGAAGTCGTCATGCTGAAGCATTGGAACAAGTTTTCGCTGGCTCTGTGATTCCTTTTGTAGCTACAGAAAAGTCACTTGAAGAACAAGCGAATCCTAATAATATTCGATCGTTTATTAATGATCAAACACGTTTAAAGTTTGTATTCTCTAAACGACTTGATGAATTGGAACAGTCAACTAGAGAGACAAGAAAACAGTTGGCTAAAATTGAGCAAGAGCGCTCATCACTTGAAGCTACTTCTAAATTTACCAGGTAAAAGTTTTGTTCTATCATGTAAACGTTTTAGAGAATTCTTCCGAATTACGATTGTATTTTTTTGTTACTGAATACAAACACGATATCCATGATAAATAATTACAATTATTATAAAAATTGATTAAAACTTCAGAGGCACATGGGAATGCTTTGAAATAACAACATATTACAATTGAGATACTTTTCCGAGTTGGACGCCACAAATTCTTGATAATAACTAGAGGTATGGATTACTAAATAAGTATTATGGTTAGAACAGATAGGAGAGCAAGTAAAGGAACGCTGAGATAGATTATTAAAACAGAACTAATAATTATGTTTAGTAAAAGTTTCATAAGTTTTGAATGTTTTGTAGTTACAACTTGAATGAATATGTAGACTCTTTATTATAAGTCCAATTGGTTTAAACTTTTTTTTAAAATATACTTTACAGAAATCATCTACAAGAAAAACGAGATCAACTGAAAATATTAGAAGGAAAGCTTTTATCTGTACCTGGAGCAGATGATCTGGAACAAACTCTTATTAATCTTCAAGATAGACGTGGCTCTTTAGAGGAGTGAGTTTTTTTTTCAAAGAAATATTTTCAAACTCTGTGATCAGTTTTGTTTTTGTTGTTGGCAATTCATATCAATTATTTCTGAAATTACAAAGACTATAAACAGATACTATAATTGCTCGTACTTTATTTTTATTCGATTTTCCTAAGTCTTTCTTATTCGAAAAAGTTACCTTTATTGCCTAGTATTATTCAACCACTGATACACTAGATTAGTCCCCAAAATCAGAACTCTGCTTCAACAAGAAAGTATTAAATGCCAGTATAAAACAGCTAACTAGGATGCAGTTACCATAGAGAGTTTAAACGTCATGCTCGGAATTACCGAGCAGCTGTAGGGTGTTATCGAGCTGCTTTCGGTAGCTTCGCTAATGTAAAGAAAATTTGTCGAAGGATGGGGTCGTACAGTTGACTGTACAGAGGTGTGACGGCATTAGGGTGTTTCCGTCAGATAACCAGTATAACAGCGATGCTGACTTCCGACAAAGCAACGGCGCATTTTGTAAGACCGACCCTAAAAATGCACACCTCGCCTTATACCACGAATTTCTGCCTCCGACGGTAAGATCTCAACAAGTACGAAGTTAACACAGAAATTACTAAAAAAAAGCTCGTGTGACGGTCCTCAAGTAGTTGTCCTTTGTGCACTGCGGTTACGTTCTCAAGTCACAAAGACTAAATAACCCAATTTCCTTTTGATGTACCTCTGGAAGACTGACTGAAAACGACTGTGGCAATTCTGTTTTATTTTCGCTCAATCCTCGAGATTTTCAAATCTGTTCTAAACGCGTTTATCGGAATAAACAAACATTTTAATCATCTTATTATCTTCACTAAATCTATTGCTATTATTCGTATTACGTAATCTAGTATTATAATGTTTTTATTACGTCATGGTTAATTGTGTTCACATTTCCTTACAGAATTAGTACTTTTACAAAAAACAAAAAAAATTCATATATCTACGATTGTACACCTTGATAATAAATTCGTTGAAAAGAGATCCCTTCTCTGAACTTCGTGTTTTAATTTTAAATATCAGTGTTGAAAAGACATTGTTAACTAAGCTTACCTACGGTTACTGTTAAACTTTTAACTAAGTCATTACGTCTAGACACTAAACAACTAAATATAATTTATCATGAGGATGGATATTGATGCCTACTAGTTATTTACTAAATGCAGAGTAATGCAGCTTAGAGGCAAATTATTGTTATGCCATAAATTCTCCTCTAGACGTCTTCAAACAATACTACTCATTATTACCAGCCTCATGTGTTTCAAAAACTGATATATTTTCAGATGCAACGAGATTGTCATCGGAAGCTTTTGCAATAGTGAATATTATCTAAAATGCACATTGTAAAGAGCGAATCCGCTATTCCCATAGGGATAATTCTGATAATGCTCGTTATGCAGTCTCTGTAAGCAACATTAAAGTTAACTTGGTCACGTGGGAGGAGGACCCTTGAAAAGTGGTCTAGCACATATAATAACCTCAATAAATGAGTATTAAAGTGGGTTTCTTTTGTGCCTCATCTTCTAAATAGCAGCATTCAGGAAGTCGTATCACAACAAGACCTGTATAGTACTTACTATTAGTTGGAACGACTTTGCCTGCATACTTACTTTCCACATTGCTACAGTTACGATGAAGTCAAAAACAGATATTTATTACAGAGTATTTTAATCATACATGCTGAGTGCTAATTAAGAACAAAAATTTTCGCCGAAATTGGAATACAATCCAATATTAAGTGATAATCATAGATTATTTAGAAAATGGAAATCACAATCATTGTACTACATACATATATGGCTGAGCAGGTATACGTTTATATGAAGGGAGGTTTGCATAAACTAGATGGGGTGAGGGAGTACTAATACTGAATTATCCCGGAACTTTGAGGGACTTATGTACAGAAAAAATCGGAACATAGCACTGGACGCAAGTGTATCAAGTGAAATTCAGAATCATCTAAAGACAATCAATTTGTGATTAGATTTCTCATGCAATTCTACCAGATATACGCTTTCCTAATTGTTGAAATATTTCTAGTGAAATTCCTTATGGACCTGGGGAAATTATGTCGAATGAATCACATCCCGATAGAAACTGATGCAATTTTGTTAGATGCCGATTGTTCGGATGGTTCATTATTTTTTTTAGTGAAGTCCTCAATAAATCTAAGGGAAATATTTCGGAGGAATCGAATTTTCATAAAATTCTAGATGATGTCATATTGGATGTTATTTGTTTCCACGATGTAATTGTTTCTTGTGAAAGATTTGGTCGATGTGAAGCGCTAGTTCCAAATAAATGAAATCTAACTGCACTTCTGATTGCTCTATATAGAATATTGTTCACCTTCAGTATACAGTCACTTCTACTGAATTCTTTATTTACTATGACAAATATGTTTCAAATGAGTCACATATTGTATTATTGCTCTCCAAGTTTCAGCTCAGTACAATATAACTGTCTTGAATTTTGTACTGAAATTTCTGATATACAGTGGGGGATAAAATAGAAATCCATCATCTCCAATATATCAGTTTTCGAAACACATGAGGCTGGTAATAATGAGTAGTATTTTTTGAAGACGTCTAGAGGAGAATTTATGGCATAACAATAATTTGCCTCTAAGCTGCATTAGTCTGCATTTAGTAAATAACTAGTAGGCATCAATATCCATCCTCATGATAAATTATATTTAGTTGTTTAGTGTCTAGACGTAATGACTTAGTTAAAATTTTAACAGTAATCGTAGATAAGCTTATTAAACAATGCTATTCTGATAAACGCGTTTAGAACAGATTTGAAAATCTCGAGGATTGAGCGAAAATAAAATGGAATTGTCAAATCCGTTGTGATTAAGTCTGAATAAAAAGCATATATGCTGTAAATTAGCTTCAAATTGGCGAAATAACGCTACCAGAAGGAGCTCCATAACACCATATACTCACTCAAATACTTCGTTCTTGACTTTTAATCCGTGTCATTGCATAGTTCAAAAATCCGTGTTTGTTGTAAAATTTTACATGTGAAGTTTCTAAACTGTTGTTTGATTTTCTTTTCGCCTTTATTGGATAAATAATGAGACATTAAAAGTGTTTCTGTGTGGAACATGACTTACTCTGACTGGCTATCTGCTAACACGTCATTCTCCAAGTCATGCGAAAATTCTCATATAAATCTATTAGACTTTGTTTTGAATAATTTTAATTGTTTATTCAGCTTTTCTCTGTTAGATGCACTTTAATATTGATAATAATCTTTTTAAATACTAACTTTGTTTTATAACCGTCTGTAACATCGATTTTCTGTAATTGTGATAATTTGTCTTTATGTTAATCTCAGAGAATATGCAAACGAACAAGGAAGTGTATTTTTGTGGTGTAAATTTCGTGATCGATTGTCTCGTGTAGATTCTGATTGTCCAGTATGTCATCGATGCTTTGACAGTGATGCAGAACGTGATGAATTATTAAATGAAGTGAGTAGTATAAAAGTGTATATTAAACATTATTTTGCCTTTAATTTTAATTGTTCATGTAACTACGATAATGAAGATAATGTTTAGTCAGATCACTCACTTTTATGGTCTCACAGAAAATTTTCGAATATATATATATATATATATATATATATATATATATATATATATATATATATATATATATATGTTTTAATTTGAGTGGTCGGTTATTATCACTAGCACATACACATAGCGTGTGATTGATGACTGAGTATAATAATCTTGAGTTGCTAAGGAATTTATGCAATAAATTTGACCATATATACTCTTAACTGCCAGTCGCATCTCTGAAGAAAAGCTTTTAGACTTTTAGGTCTCGGAACGAGTTCTTAACTACTGAGTCAGCATATAGTGCCTTACATTTATAACTTCAATCAATTCTCAAATATATAACATAATTATCGTGCGATTGCATTCGTGTGAAACTGCCTACCACCTTACATAATTGAGCTTCATTGGTCACCACATATTAGCTAGTAACAATCCATATGTAGTTTGAATTATTCAGACACTGTTGCAATAGACAAACAATTCTTTAAAATCGTATTCTTTTTACATTTATGTACCGCTTCTTTCCCAATAAACTTTTCACTGGAACTTTTGTTCTATGAGGTCTTGTTTGAAATAACCAAGAGAATTAATTTTTGTGATCCACAAATATTTCCTCATTATGAGATGACTAAGTACAATCATATTGATATTATGTTAAATAAAGTCTTATATTCTAGAGGTAATTACATTTGTAGTGATGATTTTTGAGTTGTTTCTTCCGACTTGATTGATAATTAATCACAGTTTTAATTGTAAGCAATATTTATTGTTGATATATGTCGTTAATATCAACGTTAATTTGTATATTTTGTTTCTAGCATGTTTATACATACTTTACGATTATATTTTCTGCTTTACACAGATTGATAACCGAATAAAAACGTTGCCTTCTGAATTTGAACGTAAAAAACAAGAATTGAAAGAAATAGTTTCACGTCTTGAATCATTGGTTGAGTTACGTCCCATAAGTTTAGAGGTTGGTGAAATTATTATGTGGATAGTTAATCGTGAAATAGGTTGTCATTATACAAAATTGTTCACACTGTTAACGGAATATGTGGGGATTTTTTTGTTCCAGATACTAATACGTCAATATTGTGTCTTTCTTTATGTCTTTTCTCGGCGGGGGTGTTGTTTACGAAATTGAGAGGACGAAAATGGAAAGTGCGGCGTTTTAACGTAGTTGGTAGATATGGAGGATCCACCTAGAGGAGTTGGAAAACCCTGATCCTAAATCAGTGGTGCACATGGGCTCCAGGATCCTAAAGGAATAAATGGCATATGACCTAATTATTGGTCAACGCTTACCATGGGACTGCATCTCTTGACGTCGCTCCACTGCTTTGTGGATTAGACCTTTAGATCAAAGGCTCGGGATGTGGACCCCTAAGAAAACTACTTGCTTCGGTTTGAACACACGTGTAGTATCCCAACCCTCACACAAATCGGATGATTTATGTGGTGCATATTTATTTGGTGCCTCCTTGTACCAATGTTTATGTGTTTAAACAAATGAATAATAAATAAATGCATTGTCGATTTCTGACTAGAGTGAAAATTGAATGAGGAAGGAAGAGAACAGCATGATATAAACCCGAGTTACCAGCATACTATTCCTGTAAAATAGCTACGCGAAACTATATATTTATATATATCATTGTGTACTTTGCAATTCGGAAATGCGAAACATTGAGGTTAATAATTTTGGTTTTTGTAAATTAGTAATTAATCAAAATAAACCTGGACCTTTTATGTAATTCAGCTGGTGACCGATACGTTGTATCATTGATCAGTCACTGCAAACTTGTTTCTTCTTTCTCACTTTAAAGCCATGTTGTTACGAAGAAATTTCATACCATACTTAAATTTCAGTAATTATCTAGGAAAAATTTATATTTTATAGTATTTTTTGTGCCCAGTAAATGTGATTTAAAAAGTAATTGTACGTTAATGATTTTACATTAAAACATTATTTATCAAATTTGTGGATCCGTTTTTTAATTGGTTGTTTGAATCTTACCACTGATGTTTAGAACTGCAGTTGGTCAGTCTCTTATTGGCATATGTGCATCTTAAGAGTATTGCCTCCATATTGCCTTAAGTTACAAGCATTATAAACAGAGATGAACGGTGACTAGCAGTGGAATCCAAATAGGACGAAACGCTCGTGTAGGCTCCACTGCTGGCCATCATTTTTCTTTGCTTACAAATCTATGAATTTTATTAATCAGAATTAGTTACAATGACGCAGATGCACTTACCCTCGTCCTGGAACACTTATACCTTTTCGTTTTTCTCAAATCATATTGTCCATGTTATACTTAGTGTTTTCTACCACTACTACTAGTGATATTTTGATTACCTCTACTACTCTGATATTCGGTTTGATAATTTTATCCTATTTTGTTGATAATGTGTTGTGGTAACCTGAACTGGCACGCGTATGTGTCAGAAACCAATATTATTTAAGACCACTACTACCTGAGTGGTTTGCTAAGTAATTTTTTCATTTTTTTTCCATAGATCAAAAATTTACATGAGGAGATAATTCCTGCTCTAGAGTTGAAAATTAAAGCTGAATTAGATAAACTTACTGATGTACGCAGTCAACGAGATAAGGTAAAATATAGTGTGTACTGAGATAATTTACCTGCTTGTAGGTTTATTATACCTGTATCCCTATTCATTTATATATTGACTGTTTACGAAAAATTCATAGCTTGTTATGTTGTTTACTTATTAAAATTTTAGTTAGTACTTTCCTCTTAATTAATTGCATTTGAAATGCTAGTCATGAAACTTAACGTCTGTATTTCACGTCCTAACGTTTTACCACTTTTGTGTTCGACGTCGAAATGAATGGTACGACTACAATCCATACATTTGCCAAAATAAATAACCGTCAGGTTCACTTACTCTTCGCTTGTCAATGTTAGCCTACAATGAATTGTATTTGCAAACGATTGAGGATTCCTTTAATAAAAGGTAACGAATAGGAACTCGAATGAACCAGATATTTGTCATACGACAACATTTCAACTGAAATAATACCTACACTACTAGTGAAGACGAGACTGTAAGCGTAACTTTTCATTCTGTGCTCAAGTTAAATTTATGAAGAAACAACTCTATTTTTATAATAACGTTTAACGACCTTAGGACACAAGAAAACAAAATAAAAGCGACAACAGGCAGTCTGGTTACAACAGATGTTATTGCGGTAATATGATTTAGAAAACTCTTGTGTGGTTATCCTTCAAAGAAAGAACTAGCATGCAATGACAAAAAACTAAACAACCATATCTCTTATAAACTGTCAACTGTTGTATTTAAATAATACTAATGTTTAGTGTACACTATTCTCCAAGTGAATTGGGACGTAGTTCTTAAAATCCTGTTGCTTAACAGCCTGAAATAGTTGTTTTGGTTTTCTTTTATATTAAACTTCATTAGTTTAATTAGGTTTTATATGTTGTATAAAGTTATAGTTATCGTACTTAATAATGTGCATGTTCGGGATTGTTAGGGTCATGAATAGAATGCTGATCAATAGTTGGTGCGTATTGGTACAATTATCAACTCAAGACCCCAACTGACTTGGTGTCAAAAGGCAACATAAGTGGCTAGGAGGATAAGATTTTTCTTTCAGTAAAATAATATTCTTATATATCCAGTAACAAATGACAAATTAAACAAAATTAGAGATAATTTGAAAAAAATGTGATTATAGGAAATTGTTTTCCTAGGTTCACTCACTTTAATTAAACTAAGATCTAACTATAAGGCTTATTTGTCATATCTTTATGTAATATCCGTTCAATTAGGAAATATATCTTCTGGTATCACTGGAATTCACGGGTAATAAAATTGTATATACTTATTCACTATTTAACTTGTCTGCTACGAAGTCTGAGTTTGATGTGTTCACTTATTCAATATATATATGAAAGAATTACCGTTTTGTCTTTGATTATTGAACCATTCTCCACGTTTACTACTTCTATGATAACTCAGTTTATCATTTATTACATTATAGACAAGCGCTCTACTTGAAACATATCAAGCAGATGAATCTTTAGCAAAAACAGTACAAGGTGATTTGGCAATATTAGAACGCTTAGAAAATGAATCTTATGAATTAACAGTTAAAATTAATCAATTCAAATATGAATTTACAGATATCACAACAGGTTAGTGAAATTATTCTTCCTTTTATTTTCCCTAATAAATATATGTATATATTTAATACTTGAAAGTGAATTCTGTTTTAATACTAAACTTTAAATTTATTTCAATTGGTGAGATCGTGAGTCAATTGAAGCTAGACCACCATGAAAAACCTGGAAAATTTCAAACAATTGTTATCTCTATATTTTAATTAAATGTATTGATCATCACAAATTTGTTTTCTAAACAAATCTTATACTACGTTTAGTTTTACTTTATGGCGGTGAAACATGGCCGGTAAGAGTAGAGGATATTCGTAGATTACCAGTATTGGATCATAGGGGTGTTCGAAGCATTGCTCGTATATCCTGGGACCACCGAGTAGATAATGCAGTTGTTAGGAAACGTGTACTAGGTAAGGATGGCAAATCAATTGAAGAAGTAATGAAACTTCATCAGTTGAGATGGCTGAGACATGTGCTACGTATGCTCAACCACCGACTTCCCCGACGTGCAATGTTTTATGGTGTAGGGTTGGGCAGACCAAAACATGGCACAAATCCATGGAATCACTGACAAGTGAACTGAACCATGTTGGTAGATGTAGACTACCTGTTTGGGATCTGCGAGACGATAGCAGCCGATGGCTAGAGACCCTGAATGACATGGCTCAAAATCGTTTGCAATGGCACAGGTGCATCCACTCTCTGTGTTCTCCCAAATTCTAATCTTCAGAATTGTTCATGTCACTTTTTTTTCTCTTTCCAAATTTATTTCATTGTATTATACTCCTTAAATAACATCTTCAGACCCTAATGTTTCCGATATATGCGGTATGGCAACTCGAACTGATGTACGTACGTACGTACGAAGTTCTATGTTGTTGCTGACTGACTGATTGACATTTAGTTTTGCCGTAGAAAAAATAGGTGTTACGAGTTTGATTTTCTGTCATAACTTCATATATATTATAAATCTGTTAAATAATAGTAAATAGAATATTTGCTTTCACAGACAAACTTACATGATTAATTATTCATTATAGTAAATAATTTGTATACTTTGTTGTGTCATTTTGCTCTAAATAACATTCAACTGTTTTTTACCAAGCAGATTCTCAATTAATTGATGGGTTGCAAGAGGAAAGAAAGTCGTTACGTGAGTCATTGTAAGTGATTGTATTCAGTTATCGTTCATATCTTTGTTTTTGTAAACATTTCTTTCGTTTAAGTGTAGAATTAAATTTTATCATTTGATCATGTATGATGATATTGTTGATAGTTTATTGTAACGTACAAGCATACTATTTTAAAAAACCATGCTATTGTATAAATATTTATTTAGAATGATTATAAAATGAGTTTTAGCCAATCACTATAAGGGTAACTTCAATATCTAGAGATCTAATTAACAAACGTAAGTACTAACCTCATATACACGAAATAAAAACACTATCGCTAATGTCAACCAGCTGTGTGAATATATGTAACCAATTGGTGATTTCTACTATTTATTTCAGAAGACCTATTATTATTGATTATTAGAAAGTAAATAACATTCCATTGAATATTGACTATATCTTCTTTTGTATCAAAAGTCACTTTGATTCCGTGCAGAGAAATCTCATTCGACAAAAGAAGGTCCGTAAAACACTTCATGAACAACAAAGATTGTTGTAGAAATTATTTGAATTGAAATAATTTTTTTATCCAAAGTTTGTCTAAAGGGTGCAACATGAGTCCTGCTGTTGCTCATGTAGCACTCATACAAATGTAACACAGTGCCATCAATACATTGTTATTATTCTAAACTGAGATCCACTTGAATTGGGACGTGTTAAACGATTTATTACCATTTTATCTTAACTACGGAACATCCATAACATTACCAGTTTTTTTAAAAACAAGTTGGACTTCAGTGTGATCAAAGTTGAAGAACTACTAAAATGCTGGGATTATTTACTAATAACTTCATCTTAATTGAAAAAAATTTCATTGAATAGCACATGGAACCTAGTTTTCAAAATCATTAAATTAAACGGTTTTTCTTGCCCGCAGCAAAGATGTGATTTTTTTAAATTTTGACAGGAGCTTTTTACTCTCTGTAATCAATCAGGCATAGTGGGTATGATCAAATATCCGATTTCAAAACAATCATTTAACAAAAATGGGCTTTCTGAACTTTATTTCTTGATAATCTCAATTATATACTAGTGGTGAATTAGATTGAAAATATTGTGCATTTACGAGATTTTCTTTTAACTTTTATCAATCCGTGATAATAATAAATAGTCGCTTTAAAAATATTCTGCTTCTCTAGACTAACAATTTCTGAAACTATTGAGGAGAAACAAAAGCGTGTTGATCAGTTGAATCAGGCTCAACGTGAAGCGGTCAGTAAAATGCATAGACTTAAAGATCAAATGCATAAGGTATGCTTCTGTTTGTTTGTTCTGGTTAGTGAAATTTATTTTTTTTTTTACAAAAAGATATCATGAATAATCTATTTCTTTGTTTGTTTATTTATAGTTGCAGCAAGAGAATTTAGATAATGTTCAACTGAAGAATGATCTTTCTCGTTTAACTCGTGACTGTGAAATTTTGAAAAAAGAACTATCTGAATTAGAATCTGAGCAACTTCCAGCTGTTCATCGTCGATGGACTGAAGCATGCGATGAACGCAGTCGTATTACTAAGATCCGTGAAGAAAATATTGAACAAGCTACTACAAAGGTAGGTCATTGAACTATCCTAAATCAGTGTTTTATAAATTTATCTACAGTAATAAATTCTCGCAATTCTTTCCAGAGATGTTTTCTATTATCGTATTGTAAACTTTAGTATTTTACTGCTTTAAATAGATTAATGAAATTGGTGAAAAACTGAAGAAGCTGACTGACGCATGTACTTCGGTCAAATTTGCATTCGATTCTCAACCCTTAGAACGGTTGAAGGTGATTCTTGAAACTGTAGAAGAACTTCAAAAGAACTTATCTCTTGTCAAATCTGAGGCTGACACCTGTAGTCAAAATATCGAACTCTTAAAAAAACAAATCAACGAACATAAAGTATGTTTAATATTTCAGTAATATAACGTTTGTAGAGATTTTAAGCGTTATGATTTTGTTTTTACTTTCAAATTTTCATCCATTTTAAATTTCGTGGTTTACAACAGGGACTAATGTTCGTCAAAAAACCATTTGAACATCTGTATGAATAGACTATTCTTTTATGCAGAATTTATGTGATATGAAACATTTATTAAAGAGAAATATTTCATTTAACATTGAAAATTACTTCACATCTATTAAGGTTTAATAAAGTATGATTTCTTTTGCATGGATGAAATAACTTTTGAAGTAGTCATGTTTCCTATTATTTCCAGTCTTTTATAAAATTGATAATCACTTAATATTTTCAGGCGGATATATGGTTATTTCGAACTGTTTGAATATATAACTAAATTATTGTAAACCACTGGTGTTATCTGTACTGTTTTCATCGAAAGCCTATATTGCTTCGTTTAAGAACTACCTATTTCATTACTTCTCAACTTATAAATATTTTGTACGTTTTGTAGATGCGTCAGCGAGAATTGGCGGATTGTGTCCAAGTTCGTCAACTACGTTGTCATCTTAACTTTCTCACAGAACGAACAGAATCCCTTGCCAAAAATCAAATGATTTGTGATAATATTCCTTTATCAGATCAGGATTTAATTAACGAAACTAAACGTTTATCATTAGAAGAGGAAAAACTTCATTCACTTGTAGGTACTTTGTTTCAATGTTGGTCTTTTTCATTTACGTTTGTGTATTTGATTTATAGGACATATTTCGTCGAACCTGCTTACAGTCATATTTTGTTAGCCCACATTGATACTATTGTTAATAAGTAAACTAAATGATCTGATGACCTATCTAGGTTACTACATGTTAGTAGCTTATCCAAGTAAGCTGATTGATGAGAAGGGACTTGTATACTCGGGATGACTGAGTTATATATTTTTTGATCCACTATCGATGGATTTTACAATGAATAACTTGAAGCATTTGTTTGGTATTGACAATATTCTTATATAACTGATAATGTCTTCTCTTTGTTACAATTAGTTTGACTATTAATTTCCAAAGAAATATACCAAAATTAATAGATAGTACCGATGGTTTCGCTAAATCCGAATACAGTTCAGACAGCGTTTTGGCCATGGTGTAGGTAAAATGAATTTCTTATTACTGATCGTTTCCACTCAGTGACCATCATACTTCCTATATAATCTCAAAAGTATGATCATCGTTGTATGTCAAGAAGATTTATTTCACTCATTCATAACAATGAAGATCACTCTGAATTGTTACTTTCATACATTTTGGAATAAATATTAAGAAATAAATATCAAATCAAATGAAAATGAATGAGTTTTTCATATAAAATATGTTTTGTTTTTACATAATTACAATGTACAAGTTATCTTATATTTGTATTTAAGATAGTTTAATGAACTAATGCTTACAGTAGTACAGTATACTTTTTTACAAAAAGAAATGAGATTTGACTATATTTAATCATGTACTAAGAAAAAATTAATTTGTAAACTATAAAATTTAGAAACAAGACATATCCAATCAACTAAGTGAATTAAACGCAAAACTCTGTTATCTTAATCGTGATTTGAATGAAAAATATACCAACGCTGACAGTGAATATCGTGATATGATGTATCAGCTTAAAGTAAGTATTAGTTCTACATTTTTTAAAATCTATAAATTTATATGAATCTTTTATAAGTATAAGGCTGTTTTTCCAATACAAAAGAAATCTCAAAGTTGTATTATACAACCTTTTTATTCCTAACTTAAAAGAACAACCTTTCTGATCGGTAATTGTTATGTCTAAAATTGGATAAGTGAATAGGTGTATGCTAAATATATGGATAATATAATTATTCATGAATCCAATGGACCTAGAATATGGTTTTTCTCTTGTCATCAGTATTTCATGATTGTGCTTAATTGTCTTCAAAAATGTTGATTAATTAATATAAATAAGATAATACTTATACGCTTAACGTTATCATCCATTTTCATTGACGCAATTTTCACACAACATTTCCAATTTGTTTAAAATTATTTCTCTTTAGTTAGCTAACAAACTTAACAGTTTCTCTAAAGTATATTTATTTATCAGTATAGGGGTTGTGAAGATTATTTAGTTTTTGATTGAGATCACGAACCGATCGATGTTAGAACATCGATTGAAAACCTGAAAGCACTGGATGGCCGTTTCGTCCTATTGTGGGACTCCTCAGCAGTGCGCATCCACGATCCCGCCTGCGGGATCCGAACCCAAGTCCTTCAGTCTCGCGCGCGAACGCCTAACCTACTGGACCACTGAGCCGGAATCTAATGGTGTTATTGTCTAACCTCAACCAATCCACGAAATTGCGCGACCATGTTCCATTGTACTGAGGTAGATACCTGTCTCTACCCGACACGGATTAGCTCCACTGGTCACGGCTATTAAAAGTTTATACTGACGAACATATCAGTTTAAATGTTAGCATTTCACGAAATTCTTAGTATCGATGTGAATGATTGATTGAAAATTATTTGTTTGTTTGTTTTCTTTTTTCATTGTTTAATATTTAGACTTCAGAATTAGCTTGTTCGGATTTGGAACGATATTATAAAGCTTTAGATAGGTATATGATTTTTTGTAAATTAATTTTTTGTTGTTGTTTTAAACTATCCAAATAAATAACCAAGATAAATTCAAATTGTGTTTCTAGTTCCTATACTTTATGATCCAGTACAATACCCGTAATAGTTATTTCCATCCCAAAATTGTGTTTTACTTTTATTACTGAAATTCATTTATGGTGTTTTTGTTCACATGAAATAGTTTTACAAGTTTAAGAGTTTACATGTTTTTCTTACTAGTTTAATTTATGTTTAGATGACTATGTGTCTCAAGAAATTAATCAATCATGTATTTCTTTTTTGATGAGTTGATAGATTCTAGAGGAGAACTTGATCATTGGTATTCTTTAAATATACACTTCTTTACCTGGGACACATGTGATATAATAATGTCGAGTGATGTGGTTAGAAATTATCGACTTAAGGTATGAGGGTGAAATCGCGCTTCTGATTGAACTGGTGTTTGAATTCTCTTGGTTCATTTCGAGTGATCCTGCCTTCCTTCAGTTACAAGAAAGAGTTGGATATAGCAAACCGTTTTTCCCTTCTCACAGACTTTCATACTTTGCACTATTTAATTTCAAGTTAATTTAACTTGTTTATTTATACTATGAAGAAGGGATTTACACTGAGTTACGAAACGTCAGAAAATTTATTTTTCTACTCATTGAGATATTATAAATATAGCATTTCTCTTAAACGTAATTTGTGTTTATTTTTCTTCCCTTTAGAGCGATAATGTCTTATCATGCTGTTAAAATGGCTGATCTAAATAAAATTATCCGAGAATTATGGCGCAGTACATACCGTGGCAATGGTTAGTTACTTGTAATAATTAATTTGAATTAAAGTTGATAAGCTACAATTATATTTGAATGAAATGCTTGATATTGGCAGTCTTTTTTAAATACTTATTGGATCTACTAAATGTATATTTACAACTGATTGGACACTGGATACCGACGAATGACATGTGTGCCGGATCCTTCTTAGTTGTAGATTCAGTTCTATAGACTGAGTTGAAATATGACCATTGGTCTAGGTGATTCAACATTGCGTGCACTACGTTGAGATGTACGATGGTGGTTGGAGGTAATCGACACGAAACCTATGGTTTCGTGCTATTTGGCACTCGTCAGCAAGGCGTGCCTGTAGTCATGAGGGAACTGATGCTCCCTAATGAATTCGGTACCATGTCACCTAGCTTCACAGTCAGAGACGTCTTCACTGAGCTACTCGAGCCGCGACTCACCTGCCCCAGGGCTGAGACTTATTTACAATTGATTGGTCATTCAAGTAAATATTGAATAACAGTATTTATTCTTTGGTAATTCAGTTTGTATCATTTACTGAATATGTACGAAACAGTTTTTCTCTGGTATCTACTATGCATTTTTGATTGTAAGCATGTTTTTCTATCTTCTAATTATTGTCATATTCTTTATGGATAGAAAATAACAGTTACCTCGTTTTCATGGCAAAATGTCGAAGTGATGAACCTGTCGTATTATAGTAAAGGGTAGTTGTGACCTTTCATCTGTTCAACTTTGCTAATAGAAGTCTTGTAAACGTGAGGTTTTTCATGACCTATATGTTATGTGAAAAGAACCAAGTAACGAATTCCATGGATTTCCTGCTAGTAGTTTCGCGTGTATAATAGTTAAATTTCACATCATATATAAATATTTTTTCCGTGTTTTCGTCTAGGATTTTCACGAAAGTATGTTTTATCATGTCTTATTAATAGTATAAGGACCAAATATAACCTAGGCTGAAGAAAAACTTTTTAGTCATTATTTCAAAATGTTTCTAATAGTAGTCAGGGAAATATGAAATCATGTTTCTTTTCATACCACAGTATCGAGTACTGACTTTTGATGGACTAAGTACTAACCATAATTTATATTTTACTTTTCAGACATCGATTACATTGAGATATGTAGCGAAGAAGATACAGCTGCTGCTTTGAATGTTTGCAGAACGCGAAGAACTTATAATTACCGTGTGGTTATGGTGAAGACAACAACAGGAAGCATGTCAGTTTCTCGGCCGAAGTCAAAAAACAACACTTCATGCAATAACGAAGCCCGTTTAGATATGCGTGGACGATGTTCAGCTGGGCAAAAAGTTCTAGCCAGTTTAATCATCCGTTTAGCACTGGCTGAAGTATTTTGCCTACATTGTGGAGTACTTGCTCTTGATGAACCAACGACAAACCTCGACCGAGAAAATATTGAAAGCTTAGCTTATGCTCTGGTAGAGTAAGTGGTTTTCAGCGGCGCATATTATTAGGAATTACGTAGTAATTCGGTTTGAAGTATACGACTATATTCAAAATAGGTCATTAAAGTTTTAAAACATAAAACTTAGTGTCATGTATTGGTATTACTGTGAAAGTTTTTTATTCTGGCTTGGTATTCAGAATTAATATCGGTAAAATTCACTTGGTATCGTTTACGTGAATCTTCTCATTGATGTTTAGGACTGCAATTGATCAGTCTCTTATCGGCATTTGTTCATACTGTGCGTATTGCCTCTATATTGCCTTAATTCACGAGCATTATAGGCAAAGATGGATAATGGCTAGCAGTGGAATCACCAATGGGAAGATTCAAGTAAACGATGCCAAGTGAATTTAAACTTCACTCCATCGCACAAGCAAGTGGCTATCAGGACGCAGTAGTTAAGTGGATAGCGCGATGGCGTTTGAAGCGAACAGTACAGAGTTCGAGTGCGAGGACGTAAACTCTGGGATACAGGTACATCCAGCTGACGAGTCCCAAATAGGACGAAAGGTGTGTCCTGGATCCTACTGCTAGCCACTATCTATCTTTGCCTACAATGATATCGGCAAAGTTTATTGTCTATTTATCTTTGTGTTGTCAATTATTCAGATTACTGCATTTCGTACCTGAATAAGGTGAATACTCAAAGCAGGTCTGAATGATAACTCTCATTTTAGTACTATAACCAATTTTTTAATCGGGAAGTAATAAATTTAAACCATCCTTTGCTGTTGTATATAAATGAAACTTATCTTGTAATCGCTGTGGAAGTACGCACCTCTAATTTAATTAACAGAAGTTTTACCGTTAAGTCTTAAGTAAATAATAACATTACAACATAGTTTTATAAGTATCTTCCAATTATCGCTTGAAATGATTTGCATTAAGAACGTCGAAAATGAAATCCAGTTCATTAAATCATCATGGTAATGTAGTAGTGGTGATAGTAGTGTGGCGTGCGCCACTTATGTTGACTGATATAAGTAGTACGTGACACCAATCAGAAGTGGAATGCCTGGCAGAAGAAGATTGGATTGAAGAGAACAGAAATCTAAACAGACAGTTACCGTAATAACAATGAATCTGAAAGAATCATGAATCATTTAAAGGACAACTGAAGGGGGATGTGCAAATGATGTACTTAATGTATGGTTTTCATATTTTACCAAAACATGCTGCGATTTTGTATTAAACAATAAGTCAGTTATCTTCACTAAGTCCTCGTTCACTACGGCAATATTAGTAGTAGTACTGGAATGATTTAAGGAAACTTCATGTGTAATAAATAAACAAATAAATTCTAAAAAATTAAACATATACAGATATTTTTAAAAGAAACTAACATTCCAGTTCATATTGGTTGTATTTACTGATTTGAAGGTGGATAATTATACCAAATGGTTTATTTAAAGATTATTAGTTTTGTATAGCCTTACTGATTGTTTTCATCCGAACAATGTTAAAATTTATAAATAAATTGATATATTTGTAATATCCCAATGTGTAGAAAATTTAAATTCTCTGACGTTTCGTCACTCAGTGTAAGCCACTTCTTCAGAGGATAAATAACCAAATCAAAACTAATCCAGGTTTAAATAGTACAACGGAACAACAAGAATATTATGTGATCAATCAAAAAACAAGTTAAAATTTGTTAGTTCTGTTCTGTTTTATTTATGCATATATTAGAAGTAGTGTTTTGTACTGTCAAGTTTTACAATTGGTTATATTTCAATCTATAACAACATATATAATCGAACAATATTATTTTCGATTAGATCCTCATCAGGCTTTACTTTAATATACGGTAATATTTATATGTATATACGAAATTATTAAGCCAATCAAAGTATTTTATGGGTCAATGATAACAGTGGAGTAGATTACATGAATAGATAAAATAAGTGAAAAGTACGAATTGGAAGTGTGATGACATGTGTGTGACAGAACCGAGCTTTGTAGACCTTCATTATAGGAGAAATCTAGTAAAATGTTTTACAAATAGAACTAGGAAGATACGCTCAGTCGATAAAATAAACACACACTTGGTCGATAGCGCTCATGTAGTAGACAGAAATAGGTCATTTAAAGTTGTTTTTTTCTCAAATATACGTTTCACGATCCAATTATCTGAACACTTCTTATTACATAATTTTATAATTCTTATGAATGTAATTTCAGTGTCTATATTTTTCCTAATCATTGACCTATTTCCTATTATGTAAGATTGATTCAAGCGTTTATTATTCTTATCACAACTAGTACACCTGTCATCCCATTACGAATTTGTACTTTTCACTTATATTTATTCATGTAATCTATTCCACTGCTATCATTGACCCATAAAATACTTTGATTGCTTTAATAATTTCGTACATACATACAAATATTACTGTATATTAGAGTAAAGCCTGATGAGGATCTAATCGAAAATAATATTGTTTGTATGTTTTTCTAAATCACAGTATGGTAATTTTTCACATTTTAATCTGTATAGAGTACGCGAACGTCATGATGAGTTTTACCGGTTGAGTCATTTAAAGGTGTAGAATACTTTGCCCTTATTTCACCTATTTGGTCGGGAAAATTAAGTTTCCAAGAATGAGAAATTTTCCTTGTCCCTTTGCAATTGTTGCAAGATTTGTTTTGATCCTCTCAGTTGACAAGCCAACAACTTATGCTTGTGTGTAACTGTTCAGTAAAAGATTTCTCCGAGCATGATCAATATTATTTTCTTTTATTTAGAATTATAAAAAACAGGAGCCGTCAGAAAAACTTTCAGTTAATCGTTATCACACATGATGAAGATTTCGTCGAATTACTTGGTAGATCAGACTACGTGGAAAACTTTTTCCTATTATCACGTGATGCACAGTAAGTCGGAATAAATAGATCACAACCAAATTTAATTTTCTTTTTTATAGAGGTTTATCAGAAATTAGAAAAGTCCCTATTGGAGAACATTTTCATTAAAATATACATATTGTTTATTTAAATTATATAAATGATTTCATGAGAACTTCTTATTTGTTAAATCACTATTGTCTAGCTCGTTTTCCTCTCATTGTATATGAAACAACAATTAACGCTTATTCTGATAGATGTGAGTACTTTTCTATTTTATATGATAATTTTATTCAGGTATTATTAGTCTGTAAACAAGGTAAATTCTGACCGATAAACTAAAAATGAGTGCAGACGTGTGTAGGTTCATAATACTGTGGACCATGTTGTTGATCAGCTCAAATTAAGCTTACAGGATCTCCTAACCATCTAAATTATGTGAATACAATGCAATCCTAAAATAAGCTAATAGTGAGTTGATATCCACAATAATTATATTTTTGTTATATCCCTATGAGTAGGAAAATTGTACTTCTGACATTTCGTGACTTAATTTAAATCAATTTTTCAGAGTACATGAATGATTTAGTTCGGTTATTTATTTACTCTAAAAAGGTGGCTTACATTAAGTCACGAAACGTTAGAACTACAATTTTTCTATTCATTGGGATATAACAAAAAAATATTTATTACTAACTTTCTACCCAATGCTCAATTTATTTGAAACTATCAAGTCAACCCTCGGCGTTGATACCTATAAATTCATAATAAGGTCATTTGTTGTGTGTTTTGAGTTAGCGATTGTTGTTATCTACTGCACGAAATATTAGTAGTCTTGAAATGGAAAATTGTGCTAGTTTATGGAAATAAAAAATGATGATACTGTCAATTGACGATCATAGGTTTTGATGATAGCAAAACTGTTAGTTACAACCTTTCAAAACACTTACAACCAGTCAAATTGTGTTAATTTTGAAGAAAGAATAATCCTATCGCCTGGCGTAAACGTGCCACCGTACAGTTCTGTTCACCATGTACCGTTTCCTGGGTGAAAGTTCTTTGAATTTTCCTTTAATTTTAAGCATCAGTAAGATGTGAATAAAATATGAATCTGTTGCATCGTTGCGATTAAAGTTTGTCTTTTTTTCCGAAATAATACCACTTCAAATTTATTCATTTACGATCGTGTACAGCATTTCATGTGTTGCAAATAAATAACAATTCACACGAAAGAAATAAAATGTATCTCCAAACTAAACACATATTTGACATTTGAATTAGTTTTTTAAACCCATGCACCAATAAAAATATGAATAAGGAAGTTTGGATCAGAATCTATGCGTAAGTACAAAATTGTTATCTACAAAAGACATGTATAATTCAAGGTATGCCTAATATGATAGCATGTTAGAAAGAAAGTGAATAGCCACAAATAAACACGGAAGTATTGTTTAAATAACTTTCGATTTCAGGAAAAAATGAAGCGTTCCTGTAGATTCCTGCATATTGCAGTAAGAAAAAAATAATGTGATCTTTAAGAGCTTCTCTTTAACTTTCAAGTTTTTCCATTATTTTATTAGTGAATATGAAACACGAACATTTAATTGTTTCAATGGTTAAGATCATGAGTCAGTTGAAGCTAGACCACCATGGAAAACCTGGAAGCACTGGACGGCCGTTTCGTCCTATTGTGGGACTCCTCAGCAGTGCGCATCCACGACCTCGCCCCCTGCGAGATTCGAACCCAGGACCTACTGGTTTCGCGCCCGAGCACTTAACCACTGACTCATGATCTTAACCATTGAAATTACTACAATCCCCACAAAAACCCATCTGATTTAATTGTTTATTGTTTTTAACCTGAAATCGTTATTCATAATAAACTAGATGGGTAAAGTGTTATGAACAAGCGATTTAATAGACAGTAATATCCGAAACAAACTAAGCAATGTGATTTCAGTATGAATCGAAATGAATTAAACAGCACATTGTTACATACAATGTTATATAACACACTTAGAATCTACAAATATCTAAACGAAGCAAATATTTTGCAGTTGATACAATTGAGTGTTTAAAAATGCTTGATGTTTAGGCATGTATAAGCCCAGTTAACCGACAGATGATTTACATAAATCTCGTTGGTGCAAACTGGAAGAGATGTACATAAGTTTATTCAAGGGGAGGAATGTTAATGATGGAAATCTAGGCTAAAATCCACTTGATATTCGTTGAGTTATGTTGAGTTTTAATTAACATTTCTAGTGTGAGAAAACGAACCGCGGATTCAAATATGCTATTTTTCTAAATGTATGTTGCGTCTGCATTATAGTTAATCAAGTATTTAGTAGAAATTCAGTAGTGAGACACCATTTCTGTATTCGTTTCACTGATAATTGGGAGAATTTATGAAGAATTAAATTCCTGTTATACCAAGTGCTAAATTTCGGTAGTTCTACAGCAAAACCGATGAACAGTTAATCGACCCATTGTATTTTGATGTTAGGGAAATAACAAAAACTGTATATCATCATTTATTGGGAAGAAAGTTATCATTCATCAACCCAGAGTCAATAGCCTATGGAGTTAAAGTTGACATTTCAATCAAGTCATTTTTTGTAAGTAATACTCATCGCAACGAATATGGCTTGTTATATATTCCTCGAAATTAAAGAAATACTGTCTAATCTAAAAGTGGTCATACGACTTTGTCAACTGTCATCTCTAGATTACACAGATGTTTTAAAATGGCGACAGTAAATCACCATCCTATTGCCCAGCCACCTGCATCATGCAAAATAAATCAAAAAGTGTACTGTCTCTGGGATCCATGATATCGTACTTGCAGTGATGACTTCTGTGGAAGTATATTGATACTCAAACGAGTTAATTGAAATCCACCTTCCGTAATCCTTACTCATCACTACACCACCGTCGGATCCCATTCCAAACAATGCATCAAGTGGTTTTGCGTATGCTATCTGCTCGATATATGGTCCCATGTCTGAAAATTGGATAGAAATTAGGCAAAATATGATTTACACCTTTTGTAATGAAATGTATGTTGAGCCTATGTCAAGTGATAACATGTTTGGTTTGAACAAGTACATTTGAAACGTTCATATACAACAACAGCCTGTCATATCAGGCCTAATTACCTAGTGTGACCAAGTAACTGATTGAGTGCACTTAATTTGTATAAGACAGTTTAACACTTATTGAATCCTATCTCTGTTAAACAATTTTAAGTATTATGAGCTGGTGAAACGAAATGTATCTCATTTAGAACACGGATATAACTAGAGAAGTTGTGGAAGTGGATTCCGAACTTTAATAGAGTTATATATTATATTCATTATGTTATTCCTGTTTTGTGGTCAGGAAGACGGTTTAAATCGTAATTATATGAAATGTGATGTTGGTCAACTGCATTTTAACACTTTTGTTAGTTACGTATTTTGAGAAGAGGATGGGGTAGCAAATCATTTTTCATCTAAACAACATCTCTAGTTGTAAAATTGAATTTATATAAATACTGTTTTTCATAAACACTCTAACATAATGTAGACTAAGATGGCTGGGAAAATGTATTTCTGTTTATCATCGAGAGTGAACATTAGCATACTATGAATTCCGATCTTGTGCTGATGATTTGCGATTGTTTTCAGGTAACGAGTTTGATAACTCCAATGCGTACTCAAGGTTATACAGATAACAATTCATTGTGAAGTTGCGAAGCAGATCACAAAGATGAGCACAAGTTTAGTAAATGCTTTTTCTTTGGCAAGTTTCGCCCATGTAATTCCTATGTATTTCGTAATGCGTTTGATGACATAAACGTTTTCTTAGTATCACGTCTAGAGTGAGAAATGTAGTAGGACAATATACCACTTTTTCATTCTCAAATCATTTTAAAAAGTATTAGTAAAAACAGTTGTACCATACACCACGTTATTCAGATGAGTTGTTCAATTATTACCTTACTTAACGTTTTACAAAGCATATCCAAGCTATTGCATTTTTGATACTTATAGATGTAGAAGTTAGAATACATTCAACAAAATGATAAATCAGTAGAATTGTAGTTGAACAGCAGCATGTAATGGGTCACCTTTTCCTGATAGAAGCTTGAGGTGCTTTAGATAGGCCATAAAACATTTCACCTAATTGATCTAAAAGTGTTTCTGTTCAGGAATATTAACATCAGAGACTATTTAGACGCTAAACTGATTTTGAACGCGGAGTATGTCTCTTAAGTACTGATTACTACATAGGTGATTATTATAAAAATATCATAAAACAACTGGATATGTTGCATCATTAGTTCGGAAAGCCAGCAGAATATACACCTAGCTCAACCATGTTCATCAGTAATGACCAGAACATTTTCACTTGTCTGATCGAATGTGTCACTTCACATTGAAGATCAATAAAAATTATACTCCATAGAATTTCTTCCGTGAAAAGTATCGTGTTGGTAAGCATTAAAAGAGGAATTTTAATTCATTGAACCGAGAAATAATCTTCAAAAGATCCGAGTGAAGAAATTGTCACCAGTTGGAAATGTAAAGGTTAAATAGTTAGGCGACAGAAAAATAAAATTCATCTTCCTGTAAAATTACAGGGAAGTGGGTATTCACATAAATAAGCATTGTATGGATGAAAATTTCACCTAATATTTGAATGGCTAAGTATTTCATTTTTGAACATACAGTAAGTATATTAATATTTTACAGATATTATTTTCATTGTAGTCGAAAGTAACTAGCAGGTAGTGCAATAAATTGTGTTCAGCTTTTAACAAAACTAGTTTATTTGTATTGGAACTGAAAATAATCAATTTCGATGACTGACAATATAAGAAAGATGTCAAAGTATCCATTGATTCAACACATTTAATATGAACCCACCTAGGTTCTGTATATTTACAGTGCTTATGTACCGAAATGTCACCATCACGATAGAGTAAGCAACTTTTTCTCCTCTATTCATTTTGTAACTTTCTAGATAGATAGCATATGCTGTAGGCAGTGATAAAAAACATGACCAACTGAGGCACTAAATTGATCAGTACTGAAGGGAAACAAATTGATTCAAAACATTGATAAGTTTACTTTCACAAGATATTCAAAACGACGAAAACTAACAGTTGTTGTGAAGACTTAGGGAACATCTAAATTCAATATTTCACAACGAAGGCCAATGAGGAATTTCACTTGGTGTTTCAATCGACATCCTATGTTTAAGCAAC